GGAGAGGAAGACGTATGGCAGGCGCTGGCGCAGCAAGTAGCCGTAAAACTCATCCGCGCCGGGGATCGGGCCGGACGGCGAGTACATCGTACCGTCCAGGTCGATGAGAAGTGCCTTGACTCCCGACAGCACTGGATCCACCAACTCACCGCCCTCTCGCGCGAATTCAGCAGCGCAGGGACTGAATGGCGGGGTGGCCGGCGCTGAAGCCACGAGGGCGGTGGGCGGGTCCTCCTCGTCCATGAGCGCCGCGTCGACACCGCTCGAGACGCGGATCGGGCTCCCGTCGCCGAGGAGCGAGGGATTGGCGTAGAGGCCGGCTGCGATGCACTCTCGCAGAACAGTGTCTCGCACGGCCGTCGCAGCCCGCTCCGCCAGGTCGAGGTCGCACCCGGAGCTCGCAGCCCTGTCACGCGCGTGCTCGAGGATGGCGATGGCCTCGCGGAACCTCGCGGCGGCCTGCATAGCCCGCTCGCCCGCCGCAGGGCGGGCGCGCCTACGACAACGCGCCGGGGCGAGCGGCGAGCGGTGGTGGGTGCCGACCCCGGCGAGACTCTCGACCCTTTTCGATGGACGCCTCGTTCTCCAGCGAAAGTCTGTTCCCTGCTGCAGGCGAAGGGAACAAGCGCGAAGAGGGGCTGATTTCTTCTTGACCAAGGGCGCGCCCGGATCATCAGCACCGAAGAGCGCCGCTGAAACGCGACCCGTTCCTCCCCCTGCAGGAAAAGAAGTCATGGGCGAGGTCGAGGACAATGTGGTGCGCAGCACAAAGCAGCGCCCGCCGCGCGCCGCGACGGGGCGCAGGCTGGGTCCTGGGACCTGGGTGGCTGGCCCGTGGCCGCAGGCCGCGACCCACGCGCGCGCAAGCGCAAGCGCCAAGCCGACGGTAGCGCGGTTTCGGATGTGGGCTCTACGAACCTACAGCACCGCCCCCCCTCTCCAACCCAACCCGACCGTTAATAGCGAGTGGCGGAGCGCGCACTCCGGCGTGCGGCGCAGGACCGGTCTGCCGCAGCTGAGCGCTCCCCGGCCGGCCGGCCCTCTCGGAGAGGGCGACAAGGGCCCGGCCACAGCCCGCCTCTCTGGGAGAGCCGTCTAGAGTGTCGTCCCCCTCGGAGCCTCACTGGTCGGTATTCTCGTCGCTCGTCCAGAGCGTCAGGTTGTCGCGCAGCAGCTGCATGATGAGGGTCGAGTCCTTGTAGGACTCCTCGTCGAGCGTGTCGAGCTCGGCGATCGCATCGTCGAAGGCCTGGAGCGGGGGCTGGACTGAGAGGGAGCGGCGAGGCTCGCAGGCCGGCGGGGTGGAGGCTGCCTTTTTGGCCAGGCCGCACGCGTCCGTGTGGTCGCCCTGCACCTCGTACAAGAAGACCGACTGGTTCAGGGCGAGCCCGAGCCGGATCGGGTGCGTGGGCTGCAACCGCTCGGCGGTTGACTGCGCGCCCTCGTAGGCGGCCTGGCGCGCACGGGGCGGGGGCGTCGGGGGCGGGGGCGTCGGGGGCGGAAAGCGGAAAAGTGCTCCTCAGAGAGAGGGGGGGGCAGGCAGAGAGCGTGCCTTTGCGTTTGTGGCGTGCTCCGACTTTTTGTCGCCGCCCGCAAACTCGGCGAGGTAGCGGTGGTAGTCGGCCTTCATCTTTTGGTAGAAGACGGACGGCTCGGCATCCAGGTTGTCCTTGATCAGGTGGTCGTGCAGCAGGGCCAGGATGTCGTTGCAAATGTTGTTGAGCTCCTCCTCAACCTTGGCCCGGTAGGTGCCAATCAGCGCGGTGTGCGCCGACGACTCCTTCGACGACTCCTACGGTGCGAGCGCGCTCCGAGCTCGGCGTCTCGCGCACGGCACGGCGGCCGCACTCGCAGCCCCACTCCTTGGACTCGATCGACGTGATGATGCGCAGCGACGCGCGCCTACAGCAGCCGCGCAGACCGACCTCACGGCGAGCATGCGCCCGCGTGGCCGCGCGGAGCCCGGCCGCACCGCGCGCCGACGACGTTCTTGTACGCGACGGAGAGCAGGTTGCGCTCCTGCCCAGGTGTTGGTAGAGGGGTGAGCAGAAGGCGAGGCGGCACCGGGGGAGAGCAGAGAGGAAATGCGCGAGGCGCGGCGAACCTCGAGCGAGAGCATCTCCTCCTGCTTGCCCTGCGCCACCTTCTTCATGTACTCGACCATCTCCTCGTACCGCTCCGCCTGCTCTGCCAGCTTGGCCATGTACTGCGGGCGGCAGACGGGCCGCGTCAGAACGGCTGGCGCAGAGGCGCGCGTGCGGAAGAGGGTGCGGCCCGAGAGGCGCAGACGGCGCGGCCAAAGTGACCCTGCCAGAGTCGGGCGCGCGCGCGCGCGCAGGCCGCGGTGCAGCAACGGTTTGCAAAAAAGCAAGCGACGCTTGGCCGCTCGCGCGCCGCACGCGCGGCGCGGAGGCTACGGCTGCGCTCTCGGCGGCTGCTTTGTGCTGCGCACCACATTGTCCTCGACCTCGCCCATGGCTCCTTTTCCTGCAGGGGGAGGAACGGGTCGCGTTTCAGCGGCGCTCTTCGGTGCTGTGATGATCGGGGCGCGCCCTTGGTCAAGAAGAAATCACGCCCCGCGAGCAGGGAACAAGACTTTCGCTGTGCAGGTGGGGACCCTGTCCTTCTCCCACCCCTCGTTTGGCGTGCGCGTTTTATTTATTTATTTATTCGCTGGAGAGAAGAGGCAGGCGCGAGGGGGGCGTGCGGGACCACAGTCCACACACAGTGAGCCTCACGGGAAGGAAAGAAAGGTAGACGTGCCTTCTCGTGCGGTCGATTGTGCAGTCTGGAACGAGAGAAGAATATAGGGTGGATAAAGCGCCTGTTCACGGCATGGAGGGTGAGCCACGCCGAACGTACTGAACGTAGAGCCGAGCGGGAGGAAGAGGGGGAAGACGACTCCGAGGAGGACGAACCAGTGGAAATCCCGTTGTCAGCCGTCACGATGCACCCGAAGGGGACCACAGCGCCGGCATCATCAGTGAGGGCACAAGTGTTCGAAGAGAGAGTGGACCTGAGCAACAACATGACCTGGAGGCAAATGATCGGAGTGGGAGTCAGAAATGTGGTCCTTGCGCGAGGGGAGCTCGATAGACTCGAGGGGCCAGGATACGCCGCGAGGAGGACGGAGTTGCGCCGAAAGGCGAAAGAAGCCGCGAGAGCAAGGGACCGGCAGGCGGCGGCGGCGCCGCAGAACGAAGCAGAGGAGAGCGACGCGACAGAAGAAGAAGAGACAAGGGAAAGAACGACGAGAAGGGGGCGACCGCGAGGTGGCATGAAGGTCGCAGCGAGAATCTGCGAGAGACTGCGAAGAGAGATAGGAAGAGGCGGACGCCCAAGGGTGGGCGACGGCTAGCGCATCACACCCCTCTCCTTAAAATCCCTGTGTGGTGGCGGCGTGCCGTCCTCCCATCCCTCCCTTGGGTTGTCTGTTTTCTTTCTTTCTTTTCGATTGTGCAGTCTTTCTTCACATAGCCCTTTCACCTCCTTTTTACGTGTGGTGGAGAAGTTACCTTGCGTTACCTTGAGCGGGCACCGCCTCGGTATACAAAATGCGCCTGCGGGCGGACCCTCACAGATCACAGATCACTTGAGCACTTGATAGGGTCGATTCCGCATGGTACGGTCCTTATCCCCTGTGAACATACGTATTTTCTTGTCAACAACAAGGCTGTCGAAAGCTAGGGCGGCATCGCGCCGCCAACCAAGAGAATCATCCACAACTTCGCCAAAGAGGTCGGCAGCCCGAGCGCCGTCGACCGCACCGACTACGGCACAGCCTCCGGCAGCGCCCCCCCGGGGCTTCGTCCAGCACCACTCGCAACAGCTCTCGCGCGCCGCCGTCTGTGGCGACGCGCAGAACATGGAGAGAAGAAGAAGTCCTCATGAGCTGGTCGGCCGCCATTCGGGCCTCCCGGCCTGCTGCGGCGGCGCGGCCGGTCGAGGCCGGGCTCGGCCCGGCCCGCGACGGCTGGCCGCCGACGAGCGCGCTCGCGCTGCTCGTCAAGATGGCGGCGGTGGCGATTGCGGCGACAAAAGTTCAGGCGTACAGCGCTCAGGCGCCTGTCGTCTTTCGTCTTTTGTCGCATTTCGCACACGCGCGCGCCGCGCGACCCGCGTCGCTCTCCGCGAGGGCATGAGCCTTCCGCGATTCGATCCCGCAGCCAAAAGCTGCTCGCTCGAACCGCGGCCGACTCTGCCATCGCGGCTGCAGCTGTTGAGCTCTCCAGAAAACTGGTGCCTCATATGCTGCCTCCCTGCGGATGCTGCCAGCGAGCCTGGCGGTCCGCTGTACTACAAGGAAGTGCTGACTCGATTTCTACTCGAATTCTTCTACCCCCACGACTCGGAACGCGAATGTGACAGGACCATCGGGTCCTTCAGCCATCAAAGCGGGATCACCCGAGAGCAGCTGAGCCTGCCTCTGGGCTCTGGCCTCGCCTCCCTCTCCTTCAGGCATTCGTGGCATCCTATGGGTCGTCCCAGAGTATCGACCTCTGGCTTGTCAGCCGGTCACTTGATGACGACCATGAAGTACAGCGATCGCCACCTCGCTGGCCTCTCCGCAAGGCCTCCCGACCGCGTCGAACTCACGGCGCGGGCTCTCTCGGCTACGCCTACGGGACCGGCCCCAGCTTCGGCTGAGGGCTGACAAGCTGCCGAGCCCAAATCACTGTGAGAGTCGTGATTTCTTGTTGGTTTTCTAAAATCTCTCTCTCAGAACATCAACAACGCTGCTCGCAACATGCGTGTCGCGCACTCGTTCATGACCGGTCTCAATGTCCCACCCCCTTGCGCGCGGGCCTTCTAGGCCCGCGGGTAGTCTCCCCCCATCCCCAGGGCCTCCAGGGCTCGCACCTCAACCTCTCACAGACCAGCGCATAGCGCCATACGACGTATTTTCTTCTCATAACAAGGCTGTGAACCATCGTCGACCGTCTGGATCGTCGCTGTGCGGCGATTGCGGCGATTACAGAGAGGAGCTCGTCCGTCCCGCGATGTCCAAGCAACAGGTTGCCACTTACGAGCAGGCGCTACTAGCCGGCGCAAAGCTGGACGACGAGCCGTCTGTCACGGAGGTGCGTTTGCCGGCCTCATTGTTTTGTCTCTCAATCCCCTCCTGCGTCCTGGACAGTGCGGGCGCCGGTGTGCCACGCCAAGTCATGATGTGTGCCGACAGGTGTTCCCACCACCTGCTCTCCCCAAGCCCACCGGCCTTGCTTCACTGTGGCGCAACCTTGTCACTTGCGGCTCGGATGCAAAGCTTGAGAAGGATTATGCGGTCCTGATTGCTCAGAGCATTGCATCTGCCGTTGCCAAGGCGCGAGCCGAAGCAGCAACTTCGCTCGAGCAGGCGCCACTTGTGAGCCTGGGGAGGTCACTGGGCAGCGCCCGCAGATGTCTCGCTCTCTCGCGAGTAGGCGCAAGAAAACTTTAGGGCCGCAATGCTCGAGGAGCAAACAAAGCACGCCGCCAATGTGCAAGCTGGAGAGTCGGAGGCGCGGGCACAGGCGGAGCAATCGAGGGGTCTGGAGGCCAAGGTGGCTGAGCTGACTGCGCAGCTGGCGGAGGTGTCGGAGGCGCGGGCACGGGCGGACGGAGAGAAGGTCGCTGCTGTGCGAGCGGCGGTGGCAGACGCAATGGAACAGGCGAGAGAGGAGAAGGCCGCCGCAGTCAAGGCGCCTCACGCTGCTCGGCCCTGGTCACGTGCGTTCTTGGCCGAGCTTGCTCCCACACCCACGCGTCAGGCGGCGGTCGCCGACGCGCTCTCGAACGTGGCTGCGTCGGCGCGCAAGGTTGAGATCGTCGTCCCGCCGGAATCGCCACAAAAGAGGGACATAAGCCTTTTCTCTCCATCGCGCTCCTGGAGGTCATCAGAAGACCCCGAGGGGAAGCCGGGCAACTCCGCTCCCGACACCACCCGCGCGATCCAGGAGTCGATGCTCCGCGTGCGTGAGGAACGCATTGCGGCGGCCCAGGTTGCGTGATCCGGCCCTCCCTCTCCATGGACATGACATGCGCGTTGGGTCGGAACGGTTGATTCTTTGATTGATCATGGTGGCTTTGTCACATGCGATCGCGCATTTTGTCACACTTATCCCTTAACTCCACACTACTTTCTAGGTCACTATACTCAGTGAGTTTTGAAGGTAGCTCGAGGTATGTAGGTTCCGTTCACCGTTGTCGGCAAATCTTGCAAGAGCGAGAGTGAGTGTGAGCGCCCCCCCCACCCCGCACCCCCCCACACGTCACTACTCAAGGTAAATCATCTGAGACTATCCCGGATCCTGCTGACCAAGTTCCTCTTGTAGCTCGATCGGCCACACCGCCATCACCGCCGACGTCTCCCAGTTGTTATGACCCCCCCAAATATGAACACACCAGTGAGGGAGGGCGAGACGATCGAGGGGTCCCGTACCACGCGGAATCGACCCTATCCAGTGCTCAAGTGCTCAAGGTAAATCATGGTCTGGGGCTGCCCCCCGGGGCGGGGCACACACACGCGTGTCTCATCATCGTCACAAAGTGAACATCAAGTGACTGTCCGGGGACGGACGCACCGCCGCGATGCCGACCGAATGGAGACCGGAGGAGTGGCTCAAGGAGTACCAGCTGCAGAATTGCAGTGAGGCGCCGATCGACAAGTTCAAGGCGCGCGCCGCCGCGTCCGGCTGGGCAGGCACAGCAGGGCCGCGGCACTCTCACGCCGCCGATTCGCAACGGCAGGTGCGCGGTCGTTACTACCTCACCAAGGACAACAAGATGAAGGGGAAGAAGGTGCCGCCAGGCGTGCACGGCTACAACCTCAGAGTATCGGCGCTGATCCGGTCAGAGGAGCCGATCGAGCACATCGCGAAGCGTTTCCCGCTGCCGCCAAAGCCAGAGGGCGCGCCGCCGTCCATCGTGATTGCCTTTTCGATCAACAACGCCTCGCCGAAGCAGAATGTGGTGCGCTGTGCGTGCTGTCCAGGCCCGCCAGGCCAGCGCGAGAGTACACCGCCCGCCGCCCGCAGGTCTTCCTCTACGACAAGGAGGCGGCGCTGGACGCGCAGGCGGACCCGCGCGACCTGGAGGCTTACTCGAGCCTAGAGCGCGCCATATTCGAGCCCGGCTCGCAGTTGGGCGCCGAGCGGCTCAAGGTGATCCCGTACCTCTCGGATGGCGCCAGCTGGGCCCTGAGCTCCGTCGTCAACAACCAGTGCGGCCAGCTGGCAGAGGCTGTGGGCGTCACACAATTTGACGGCCCAGGTAATCACCCACGGAAGCCTCGGCACAGCACGGCGACGGACTCCCTCCAACATCTAGCGCGCTCGCGCACGCCCTCCAGGCTACGTAGAGATTGATGTCGACGTGCTCAAGTTCAAGAGCGCATCAGTCTTCACCAAAGCCGCCAAGCCTCTCGTCGGCATGCTGCTGCCTCAGCTCAAGAGGCTGCAGATCGACATCGCCTTCATGTTCCAAGGTGGAGGCGCTGCAGTTGACTTGTCTTGTGTGCATGCACTTTAGCGAGTGAACACCGCGACCCGTTAGGCAACTCCGAGGAGGAGCTGCCGGAGCGTATCTTTGGCTCGGTTTCTGTCTAGATGCCCACTCGAGCCGAGCATGGCGCCGAGGGACGATTCACATTTTGCCGCTAAATGCTGCTCGACATCCCATGCCTGCAGGTCAGAATCAACCGCATCGACATGGTGCGGGACGGGTCTCTTCTTTCCTCAGTAAAGCCCGCGGCGCGCCTTCAACAGTTCAGGAGCAACACGGCACGCTTCTGCCATCCCTTCTTCTGTCGCTTGTAGGCGATCGCCGAGGGTGCTGCCGGCGGTGGTGATGTCAGTGCGGACGATGAGGTGGCTGGCCAGGCGACGCCTCCAATCGACGAGGCGTCGCCGAGAGGGCTTGGCATATCCGAAGCGCACGCGATTGCAGCGTCGTACGAGGAGGCTGCCGAAGCCGCAGGCTACGGCGCTTTCAGCCTCATGTGAGGCTGGACACCCCTGGAGGGCCACATCGCACATCGCACGTTCGCTCATCGCGCTCACATCGGCATGTGTGCCATGTCTGTTTCTACTCTTAGAGGTTAGAGGGGAGCGTCCTTGTGTGTGCCCTGCCCCGCTGTGCCTGTGGCAGCTGGTAACTAAAAAGGGACAGCTGGGATGGGTAAATGAGCGGGGGCTGGGTCCTTAATTTCTGACAGTCATGCACACTTCACTACCTATCTCTATCTCGCGGTCCCCCGAATCGGTACACGGCGGTCGCATTTGCCTGCCGCGCCAGCCCGCCTCGTGCCACCGGCTTGTCCTCCTCCTCGTCCTCATCGCCGGGGCGGCTCTCGCCGCGGGTGTCACGGATGCGTACCCTTCCCGCCTGCGGCAGCCGCACCTTCAACTCGATGCCGAGCACCGAGACGACGAGGGAGAGGTCGATCAGGAGGTCGGCGCGCACGAGAGCGTCGATGATCTGCGGCGTGTGCGTCGCGCCAAAGCGCGCGTCGTCGTGCCGGATCTCGTGGTCGATGCCCAGCCGCGCGACGAGGTAGCGGAAGTCCACCACCACGAGCGCGCGCCGGTACGAGTGCGGCGGGAGAGAGAGCGACTCGTCGACGAAGCGCGCTTCGCCGACCAGACGGAGGGCGCCGGCGGGCGTCACCTCGCGGATCGCGGCGCTCGATGCGGGCGAGAGGAGGACGGGGAAGGCGGTCGGGTTGGTGAGGCCGAGCGAGAGAGAGAGGGCGAGCTCCGTCTGCATCAGCCCGGCCGCGGTGCAGCCGGTGGGCAGCATGGAGAGGAGGAGGTCCTGGGTGGCGACGGTGAGAAGGCCTGTTCACAGCTGCAGGTGTGAAGAGACGCTGTTCACAGGTGCCGGATGGCGACGGTGAGGATGCCCTGCGGCTGCTGGCGGGACGAGTCGCCGGCGGCCTCGTCCGACTCGCCCACGTGCGGAAAGATGCCCTCGAAAAAGTCGTCGAACACGTCGGCGCGCTGCCTCGTCGGCTCCCGGGGCCGAGGCGACGCCGGCGGCCGCTGCGGCGGCGGCGGCAGCGGCGAGGGCGGCGGCGGAGGCGGCGGAGGCGGCGAGGGCAGCGGCGAGGGCGGCGGCGGCGGCGGCGGCACCGGAGGGAGAGAAGGGAGCGGCGGAGGGCGAGGCGTGTGCGTGATGGTGGCGGCGATGTGAGAGATGCCGTCGACCACGTCTTGCACGCCCTCTGGAGAGGCGGGGAGAGGGAGGCGGTGAAGAGGGGCACGGCTGGGAGGGAGGCGGAAGGGCGGGAGCACTCCACCGCCCCAGTGCTCCGCCACGGCGTCGACGTGGTCGCTCAGCTCCTCCGTCGCGGCGGCGATCTCGTCCGCCGAGAAGGCGCAATTTGCGGCCCGCACGAGCAGCTCGAAGAACACCTGCAGGAAGAGCGGCAAGTCTCTGAGGAGATCCCTGCTGCACCGCCTCTCCCCGGCGGGTTGCGGGCAGGGGCGGGTAGCGGGCAGGGGCGGGTAGCGGGCAGGGGCGGGTAGCGGGCAGGGGCGGGTAGCGGGCAGGGGCGGGTAGCGGGCAGGGGCGGGTAGCGGGCAGGGGCGGGTAGCGGGCAGGGGCGGGTAGCGGGCAGGGGCGGTCCGCCTTCTCCTTTTGTTGCACGACCGGCTCGCCCACGTGCAGCGCGGTCAGATTCGCCATCCGCTCCTGCTCGTGCACGCCGGAGCAGCGGGCGACCCGCCTCTGCGCCTCGAGCTTCTCCCAGACCGCCGCCCTCCCCGCCTCGCCCGCCTCGCCCGCCTCGAGGGAGCGCCTGGGGCGGCGGGGACGAGGGAGGGTGGGACCAGAGGCGGCAGCTTGCGGGAGGAGGTCGAGGGAGGAGGGGAGGCACCGCCGCGAGGAGCGCCGTCGCCCCTCCTCGCCCTCCTCCTCGGTGCGCCTCCGCCGGCCAAAGCCCATCAGCGTGAGTCCGGGCGGCGTCGGCGGTGCGGCCGGGGCGGGCGAGGCGTGGAGGCACTCCCCGACGCACGAGTCGGTGCAGCTGGCGGAGAAGGAGCCGCACCCGGAGTCCGGGTTCTCGTTGAACCACGAGTAGCACCTGGCGCAGGAGGACCCGCCGAGATCAGCCGAGACCCCGCCGAGACGACGGCGGTGCGGGCTGAGATCCGCGCCAGCCATCTCGCCCGCACTGAGGGTGAGAGCGGTCGCAGCGGCACTCCTCCCCGCCGCTCTCCTCCTCCTCCGCCGCTGCCTCCTCCTCGACGAGCGCACACTCCTCGCACGCCGCGCAGCCGCTGCTCTCGCACAGCAAGGCCTTCCCGCCGCCGGCCACGCCTCCGGCAGGCTGGCTGTGGCAGTGGGCGGGGCAGGGCTCGCTCAAGCCCGGAGGGAAGGCGCCTTGCTGGTGGGGCGAGCCGGCCCTCTGGACCGTCCTCTGCTCCACCTCGGCGGGCGGCACGCCCAGGGCGGGAAGCCACGGCAGCGCCGCCGGCAGGAGGGCGCCCCTCGCCACCACGCCTGCCCGCACAGTCCCGGTGGAGGCGAAGGCGGAGAGCTCGGCGGCGACGCGGCTCGAGGTCGGGATGCGGCAGTGCAGCGTCACGGTCCGCCACGAGAGGGGAGGGAGGACGAACGGCCGCGGCACCGCGCACGACATCAGGGCGCCGGCCGCGATCGCCGCGCTCACATTCGCGCGCGAGCCAAAGGAGCCGACCTCGCTCTCAAGGACGATGTCTGCGCGTGCCATGGTGGAGAGGAGCGAGAGCGAGGTCGGGTTGTAGGCGAGCACGTCCACCTCGGCCGCGATCGAGCCGGACCGCACGGCCAGCGCCTCCACCGAGCGGGCGCACGCCTCGAACCCTCGCGCAGCCCAGTCGCCGCGCAGCTCCTCAGTCGAGCTGTTTGCGCCGAGCGGCATCTGGATGTGCGCCTCGGCCAGGCTGGGCCCGCAGATGCGGAAAGAGCACAACTCCACGCGAGCCTCGTTGCGCATCAGCGGCAGCATGACATCGCGGTAGAGGATTGCCGCGAATATCGCCAGCGCGATAACCAGCACCAGGAGAGCGGCCCGGAGCACATAGACGCACTTCGGCCGCTCATCCGACGGTGGTGACTGATCCTCCGACTGGGTTCTCATAGCCAGCACCCACGAGCCACGCCGGTGATTCGCCTGGCGAACCAGCTGGGCTGGCTTGGCAGGAGCAGCTCGGCACGGCGCTCGGCAGCGCCCGCCCGCCTCTTAACGCCTTGCGCCGTGGAAAGAGAAAGCGTACGCGCACATGAAAGAGAAAGCGCATGACCGCCTCTCTCACATGACAAGCGATCCCACGACAGCGATTGTACATGATCCCTACGTGAAGGCTGGAGGGACGTCAGCAAGATTCTTTCTTCATAGAGAGCTCTCGCCGCTCGCCGCTCAGGTGTGCTTCCTGCTCCGATGTCATTCTCCGAGGCCTTCGCGGCTCTCTCCGCCAGCCTGACAGCCGGCGCTCAGCGGCTGAGCGGCGCCTCCTCGTCCTCGGCCGACGCTCCGGCGGCGGCGGCGGCGGCGGCGGCGGCGGCGGGCGCGGAGGCGCGGAAGCTGAGCCTGAGCGATTTCGACGTGTGCGAGCAGCTCGGCGAGGGCGCGTTTGGGACGGTGTGCCGCTGCCTCCGGCGCTCGAGCGGCGTGGCCTACGCCCTCAAGGCCGTCTCGATCGCGCACGCCACGCGGAACGGAGGCCTGGCGCAGGTGATTGCGGAGCGAGACGCGCTCGTCGCGCTCGAGGATCCGGGCCACCCGAACGTGATCCGGCTGCACGCGACGTTCCGCGACGACGACTCGCTCTACCTCGTCCTCGAGCTCGCGACGGGCGGCGAGCTCTTCTCGCACATCCGCCGGCTCGGCGCCTGCTCGCTGCCCTGCGCGCGCTGGCTGACGGCCGAGCTGGTCAACGCACTCGAGTACCTGCACGGGCACGGCGTGGTGCACCGCGACCTCAAGCCGGAGAACCTGCTGCTCGACGAGGTCGGCCACCTCAAGCTCGTCGACTTCGGCTCGTGCTGTCGAGAGCGGCTGCCTACGGCGGCAGCGGCGGGTGACGGCGTTGACGGCGAGGCGGCGAGCGGAGACGCCGGTCGACCCGCCGACACGCGGCGCTTCGTCGGGACGGCGGAGTACGTCTCCCCCGAAGTGCTCGGGGACGGGGACGCGACCGCCGCCTCCGACTTGTGGGCGCTCGGCGCCATCGCATACCAGATGCTTGCCGGCGCCCTCTGCGCTGTGGCGTAGTCGAGGCGGGGTTGCGGGGGGACCCTGACCCTCGCACCCTCCCCCCCCAGGCGCGCCTCCGTTCACGGCGGGCTCCGACTACCTCGTCTTCAAGCGGATCGAGGCGCTCGACTTCTCCTTCCCCGCCCACTTCCCTCCCCCCGCCGCATCGCTCGTCTCCGCCCTGCTCGCGCGCGAGCCGCAGCAGCGGCTCGGCGCCGGAGGCGCGTACGCAGAGCTTCGGGCGCACCCCCTCTTCGACAGCCTCGACTTTGCGTCGCTCCACCTCCAGCCGCCTCCGCCTCTGGCGCCTCCGCCGCCGCTGCCGCGGATCAGCGGCGCCAAGGTGGCCCGAGACGCAGCCGAGACACAGCCGAGATGGGAGCCGAGATGGAGCCGAGATAGAGCCGAGATGGAGCCGGCGGCGCAAGGCGTGACGAGTAGCGCTCGCGGCTACCGCCGAGGGATGTCCGCGACACGTCCGCGACACGTCCGCGACACGTCTCCGCTAGGTGATGAACCCATATCTCCCCATATCTCCCCATATCTCCGCCAGGTGATGAACCCGCAGCTCGCGTCGAGGGCACTTGCGCGCGAGGAGCGGCCGCAGCTCCTCTCTTCGCAGGCGGACACGCCGTGGGGCGCCGCCATCTCTGAGGGCGAGATCATCGTGCTCGGCACGCCCGTCCTCAAGCGCCGCTTTCTCTCCGTGAAGAGCCGGCCCGCATCTCCCCTATATCTCCCCATATCTCCCCATATCTCCCCATATCTCCCCTATGTCTCGTGAAGAGCCGGCCCGCATCTCCCCTATATCTCCCCATATCTCCCCATCTCTCCCCTGTATCTCGTGAAGAGCCGGCCAGCCTCTCCCCTATATCTCCCCGTATCTCCCCTATATCTCCCCTATATCTCGTGAAGAGCCGGCCAGCCTCTCCCCTATATCTCCCCGTATCTCCCATATATCTCCCCTATATCTCGTGAAGAGCCGGCCAGCCTCTCCTTCTCACACACACACACGCCGCCGTGCGCCCTCCTCCTCCACCCTTCTCCTGTGGCACTTCTCCCCGCCCCTCAGGCAGCTCCTGCTCGTCGACGCGCCGCTCTCGACGCCGCCGCCGCCGCCGCCGCCCGCGTACACAAACTTTCGGAACCCGGAGGGCAGCTTCGCCCGCAGCCGCGCGAGCGAGTCGCACGCGAAGCCGCCGCTGCCGCCCGCCACGCCGCTGGCGGGGGAGGCCGGTTTGTGTCGACACGTCCGAGGTGCGTCCGAGACGTGTCCGAGGCTGCGCCGCGTAGGTTGGCGGCCGGCTGTGTACGTCGACCTTCTAATCAGTTGCTGATCAGTGATGAAGTGCTACTTGTAGGTTGGCGGCCGGCTGGTGTACGTCGACCCCGAGAAGCTCGAGGTCAAGGGCGAGATCCCCTTCTCGTCCGAGTTCGACGCCGAGCTTGGCCCGCGAGGTGCGGCCACACACGCGTGTGGTGCAGAAGCACCTCTCTCCCCACCCCCGCTCGCCGCCGCCCCCGTCGCGCAGGCGCCTTTTACGTACGGCCGGCGGGCGAGCGCGGCCGCACCTACTACTTCGAGGACCCGGCGGGGGACGAGGCGCCTATTATTGTTATTATTATTATTATTATTATTTATTACTTCGAGGACCCGGCGGGGGACGAGGCGCCTCGCTGGGGAGATATGGGGAGATATGGGGAGATATGGGGAGGACCCGGCGGGGGACGAGGCGCCTCGCTGGCCGCTGCCGCAACCCCCCCCCCCCAAACACACAACACACACAGGCAACGCCTACCCCCGCAGGTGCTCGCCGAGACGTGGGTGCGCACGCTGCTCCGCTTCAAGGCGAGGCTCGTCGACGAGGCGCGCGCGCGCTAGCGAGGCGCCGATTTGGGCGGCGGGCAGAGCAGCGCAGGCGGCTCGTATGGGGACCGCGGCGCGGCGGTGGCACCGCGCGCGGGCGTTTCAGGCCCCATTTTGCGTTTCGTGGCGTTGCGCACGGCGGCACTTGAGACTTGTGAGCGACGGAGGCGCGAGGAACACGACAACATGCACAACATGTAACATGTACATGTTGTGGGAGCTGAACCCTGAACGCTGAACCCGACATGTGGGAGCTGGGAGCTGAACCCTGAACCCAACCACCAAACGATGTCGATAATGAAAAGAGGTTACGTTTGTTCCATTTTTTGGCCTTGACACGTCGTCGGCTTTCTTCCCCGGTACGTGACGGGCGCGCGTTGCGCGCGCTCGTGCGTCGTGGTTTCTGGTTATTTCTCCTTTCTTCCCCGCCTGTCCCGAGGCGGCCGGTGATGAGATGCCGGCGTTTGGGCTGAGCGAGGAATTTGGCGAATAATCGGAAATCCTGCGACGGTGTATCAGTCGCCTTATGCCACCGTTGCATATCTCCGGATTATGCAACGGTGGCGCGCATATAAGGGGACTGATTGATAACACCGTCGCAAAACTGTGCGCATTGCGTCCTGGGTCGAACGCTAAGGTGGGTTTCGAACCAGTGACAACGCCCGTCTGGGTTTTTTGCGCCGAGTCGAACTGCGGGATTCGAACTCGAGACCCAATGCAGTTTTGCGATGGTGTATCAGTCGCCTTATGCCACCGTTGCATATATCCGGATATGCAACGGTGGCATATTAAGGCGACTGATACACCGTCGCACATCCGAGATGTTCATGATCGCGCCCCGGGCCGCCCAGCGGCTGCCCCCGGCCCCCGGGTATCGCCTCGAGGCGTTCCTTGAGCGCGTGTGTCCATCGCGCGGTGCAGCCCCCCCGAATCGATAGCAACACGGCTTTATAATGCACCCTAATAATAACACACGGCGTGTGGGCGTGTTCGAGACGCCCATCCCTACAAAGCGTTGAGAGACCCGGGTGGGAGAGGGAACAAGGAAGGGATCGTGACGTCTCAGACGCGCTCGATGCTCGGCTTTGAGGAGCCCTTCTTGATCCACGATCTGGACGAGCGGCGCTCGGAGCGCGGGCGCGAGTGGCGCGATGAGCGCCTCGTCGATTCACGGTCCCGGGGCGTGTGCGGCAGGTTGTTGTGGCCCGACAGGCCGACATCGCCGTCGCCATCCAGGTCGACGCCCGTCGTGGTCTCGAGGGCGTTGATGCGATCCTCGATGCTCAGGATGCCGGCCGGGCTGTTGGACTGAAGCGCGGGCGCCGCGGCCTTGGAAGGGACGGCGGGCGCCTCGATGTCACCTTCGCTGTTCCGCTGCTCGGCGGTGCGGATGCTCGACGGCAGTCGTGTCATCAGGCGGGTGTAGAGCGAGGGCGCCGGCGTCGTCGGAAGACCACCGGCCCGGCTGCCCGCCTCCTCCAACACCACAAAGTCGCGGCTCACCGCCGGCGCACCCTTTCCCATCATGAGCCGCCGGGCGACGCAGCTGAGCACTGCGAGCGCGACAGCGGCGAGGGAGACGTACGTCCAGAGCGAGCCCGTGCGTCCATCTCCAGGCTCGTCGCTGCTGCCGGCCGCCGAGCCGTCTCCGACAGAGCCGGGAAGGCCAGCGCGAGGCATCGGCCCGCTGCACTCGACGCCGGCGGAGGCAACCCAGTCCACCCAGGAGGCAGCGTCAATGCCGGGAATGGGGCGCCACCAGCAGTCGCGCGAGGGGTTGATCAGGTCAATGGGGTCGGGGAGGTACATACGAGCGTGAGCGGGGAGCGGGTTGCTCGGTCGATGTGGGACGTGCGTACTGCAAGTTTCGCCTTCCTTGGCTTGACAGGGACTTGACACGTCGCTTTCTATTTTTCAGTGTATGTACTTTTAGCTTACTGGGAGATTCTCAGTGTACGTACTTTTAGCTTACTGGGAGAATCTCTCTCTCAGTGTATGTAGCTCTTAAACGTACATTCCCGGAGGAGGACTGCTGACGGGGTTTGCGATGTCCGATGAGGAGCGATCCGAACGGTGGTATTCGGGTGATTATTTGTGGTCATTTCCTTATCCCGATGACGCGGGGCGCGTCAATCGTTTGCTCCTTGTGTTCTTTCATGATGTCAAGGACGTGGAGAAGAAGTGGCTTAGGTTAGGTAGGAAGGTGAAGAAAGAACACACACAGCCAGGCTCGGACTGGACACCAACGCGGTATGGGTGGACGCTAGAGAGAGAGAGAGAGAGAGAGAGAGAGAGAGATCCCGCCTGGGATGTTGGGTGTGAGGTTGTGGCGGCTTCGATCCCAAGGGGGGGAGCTGATCCCACTCAATAACCAACTCTCAGGGGCAGTAGGTGGGCGAGCTTCAGGCACGCTCATCTCGATCGTCAAGACGTTGCTACGCGCGGTCTTCCGCGGGGGGAGCTGCGTCGACGGGTGCGGGACCGCGGCGCAGCCAGTGCCGCGGCGAGGCCTCCGGCTGTTTGCGGCGGGCGGGTTGCTGCTCGCTGCGATGGCGAAAAACTCGTCTCGCCACACGCCAAGGGCTTATGCTCTGGCGAGACGTGAGGCGCATGCGCCCAGGAGGGGAGGGGGCATGTGTAACGACACTGCTAGAGATGCCTTTCGGGGCCCAGAGATAAAACTTCTGTGATGCCATGCGTGACCTAGTAGTGTCCCCAGCTATGGGCGTGTCCACGTTGGAGCCAGGTGTGGTGTGGGCGCGAGAATAGCTCCGCCGTTCATGGAGGCAACCGATGCGAGTCGACTGGTGTGTGTCGTCGTGGTTTCGTATCAAGAATTCTCTCTCTCTCTCTCTGGACGCTAGACAGATGATGACGACACGCGAAGTGGCTGTAGTGCAGAAAGAAAGAAAGAACACAGGCAGCCCGAGGGAGGGATGGGAGGACGGCACGCCGCCACCACACAGGGATTTTAAGAGGAGGGTGTCCCGGCAATTTCTTTTAGGCCTCAGCGCCGCCTGGGCCCGCCTTGGCCGACACTCGAACTCTTCGATCGAACTCGTCGATCTTTTGTCCATCGGCCGATTCATTTTCGCTTCTGCATCAGCTCTTCGAGACGCTCGACCTTCTTCCGCGCCTCCGCGCACTCTCAAGTGGGCATGGGCAAAAAAAAGCGGCGGTTGCCGTTCCTGGCCACCGTCATTCTCGCTGCGCTCGCTGCGTCAATCGCTGGGACGCTTGCCCTCATCGTCGTGACCAACAGGATCAGCGAGGGTGAAGAGCAGAGCTTCTCGCAGCGGCTGCGGCGCAGCCGCCCCGCATTGCTCCTTCAGAGAGGGCGGCAAGCTGCGGACAGTGGAGCAGATCGCCACACCGACGAAGTCGTGCCGGCACGAGAGAGCGCAGCCGCGCGCTGGTACGCCGCTTACGATCCGAAGAGCTTTGGCGTCGCTCCCCCGCCGCCGGAGCCCGACTGCAGCACGCCCGACTCCTCCGAGAGCTGTGAAGGCTGGGCTCAGGCCGGCGAGTGCGACGCCAACGCGCCGTACATGCACATGGAGTGCGCTCACGCCTGCAAGCTGTGCGGCGCTGCGGCGCCGCGGACAGCTGCCTCTCCCGCGGGCGGCGGCTTTGTGGCGGACCTGGCCTGCGTCGACAAGTCGTCCTACTGCGGGCAGTGGGCGGCGGTGGGCGAGTGCGACTCGAACCCCGGCTACATGAAGGCTAACTGCAGAGTGACGTGCGCTAGCCAAAACCCCACACGGCGGGAGAGCCTCAAGGTGCGGGCCCTCCGTGAAGCGCGACACCTCCTCCCGCCGCAGGTGCCACCTCTGCCAGTCGGCGGCGTGCCACGACATGGACGCGGCGCAGTGCAAGGCGGAGGCGGCTGCCGGCGCGTGCCAAGCTTCGCCCGAGTCGATGTTCCAGCGGTGGCGCGGCTCGCGTGGCAGGTGCACTCTCGGAGCCTGCTCGGAGCCTGCTCGGAAGTGCCCGTCAGGTGCCGCTGGTCGTGCGGCTGGTGCGCCATGGTCGTCGACAAGCGGTGCCGGAGAGACGCCTCCTTCCCGGGCCAGCTCCCCGCCGCGACGGCTGGCTCGACCGGCGCCATGTTCGAGCGCTCGCTGGCCAAGGCGGCCGAGAAGGGCTACGCGGCCACGGTCCTGTCGCGCGACCCTTGGGTGGTGACGTACGACCACTTCCTCTCCGCCGACGAGGCGAGCGCCATCATCTCCAAGGGCGAGAAGCATTGGAGTCGCTCTGTCGCGGGAGACGGTGAAGCTTCCTAGACGCTTCCTAGACACTTCCTCTACACACGTCCTAGACACTTCCTCAGCCCTCCCGGTAGGCGTGCAGTCCGTCCGCACCTCGTCGACTGCGTGGTGCGAGCACGACGGGTGCGGCAGCGACCCGGTCCTGAGCCGCGTCCGGAGCCGGATCGCCAACTTGACGGGTGTGCCGGAGGCGCACGCGGAGCCGATGCAGATCCTGCGGTACGAGCCGGGCCAGTTCTACCGGCGGCACCACGACCAGAACGCGCCCGCGACGACGGCGTGGGGGCCGCGGCTCTACACCTTCTTTATGTACCTCTCTGAGCCAGAGGCGGGCGGGGAGACCTCCTTTCCGGCACCGCCGCCCTCGGCGCTCGCCAGCCAGCCGCAGGGGTGCTAAGGGTGCTGTCGCCTCGTGTAGGTGCTCAACCTCTCGGTCGCGCCGAAGCTGGGCCGTGCGCTGCTGTGGCCGTCGGTGCTGGACCACGACCCACTCGCCCGCGACGACCGCACAGACCACGAGGCGGTCGCGGTCGGGCGAGGCGTCAAGTTCGCGTCCAACTACTGGCTCCATTTGTGGGACTTCCAGGGGCCCAACCGAGCAGGCTGCTCGAACACAGAGGTGTACGGTAACTGGTGAGTGAGCGACCAGCGTGAGTGTGATCACCGGCGTGACCGGATCTAGCTTAGAAGAGGAGGAAGAAACTAGTTTTGCGTGCTCAACTCGTTGAGGCTCAAGGCCGCGTGTGCAGCGGGTTGATGCTCGAGCTCAACCCCGCGAGATATCGGCCATCGGCCGTCCTCACGAGTGAGCGCGTGACCGCTGGAAGCCAACGTAGAAGCCAACCTGCGCTGCGGATCAATCGCCACCTACCTGGTCATGCTGGACGCGACACATCTGGAGGCAGAAGTGCGGCGGCTTCGCAATGAGAACCAGCTGCTCACGTCGCGCGTGAAATGTGACGTCATTCAAGAGGACGTTCTGGCAAAGTTTCAAGTGGCGCTGCAGCCGTTGCACGAGAGGGTGGCTGCCGGAGCATACAGCGAAGACATCGACCGGCTTGAGATCGATATCTTGGAAGTATACGAAACGCATATCCAAGCGTACGACGAGCGCGCTAGTGGTTTTCACGCCGATGCGGTACAGTCACAGCGAGAAGACCTTGTCCACGGCCTCTGTGCCAGCTTGCGGCGCGTCGCTCTTAGCGGCCTCGAGGTGTCCCTGACCCAACAGCTGGAGGACGCGACTGACGAGGTTCTGCTGGATGCAGCGGTCACGAACGAGCAGCCGCAGCTGTGGCCAAGGCTAGCACGCCTGTGGGAGGACGAGGCCCAGAAAGCAGCCGAGAGGGTGCGATCTACTCTTGTCCGACTCGGATGTGCAGAGGAGAGTGCGGTGCTGGAGGCGAAGGAGGCAGACGAGCTCCGAGCTTCAGCGAGAGCAGTGGTGGCTGGACGACTAGACAATCCCGTCATCTTCTTGCCTGAGCTGCTTCGCAGAGCGTTCGATACAACGTTTCGGTATCAAAGTTACCAAGGTACGCTTCGCGTCACCGGCCCCTTTACCGACCTCGATTCCCTCTATGCCGAGGCGATGGCTCGAGTCCATTCATACCTGGACGAGTTTTCGCGACCCCTGGCTGTGAGCCTGCCGCAGCCATCAAGCACTATCGCCTCGAGTGCGTCCGAAGATGCGCCGCTCGTGGACTGGCGAGCCCGCGATCGCTTCGAGCGCGAAGTGAGGGTGCATGCAGACGACCTGTTCGAGACGCAAGCGACCAAGCAGCTGCTCCTGCGAGGAACGTGTGATCTGCCGCTGGGGGCGCTGGTGGTCATGCTCTTCCTTGGGTACGACCACATTCCTCTCCACGTCCAGTTAGTCGCAGAAGCCGACCAGCAAGTCAGGCTTGCGCGTTGTGGCCGGGAGGAAATGTACTAAACAGAGAGTCCCACTGATAGGCACCTGGCGGCAGACCGACGGCGGAATCGGCTTGCGTGATCGGCCTAATCCGGAGTGGCACATGGTGTGCGCTGCTCGCGTGCTCTCCTCGCGGCAAAGCATCGGGAGGTGATCCATCACATGACGTTGCAGGCGCAGTTCGGCGTGTGGGTGCACCCTCGGCTCTCCCCGCCCTGCTTTGAGAGCGGCGCGTGGGTGGAGGTGTGGGCCGCACTCACGAGCACCCTTGTGCAGCCTCACGGCTCCCGCTTGAACCTGAACCGGCCGCGCCGACGGCTGCAGGTGATGCGCGTGGATGAGGCGACGGACCGAGTGGGTGCGGCGGCGGCATGGTACTACCACGCTCCGGGTAGCGGGGTCTGGCTCCATCTAGGCCGAACCAGGTGCGGGCAGACGCCGGCGAAAGAGTTGTATGGGGTGAGCAAGAAATACGCCTTGCCTCTGACAGCGGGGTCCCCGCTGCCAGCGCGAGACTTTGCTTTGGTCACGCAAGCGCGGCGTGCGAGGCTGGACACGGTGCAGCGGCGCGAGCCGGACAACACGTGGTCGCACCTCGAGATCATCGACGTCCGACACGCGGTGAGGGGTGGCGGCATCTGCGCCGGCGCGGCGGCCGGCGTGTTGCGCGGCGGGTGGAACGGAAGCAGGGAGTGCCGCTGCGACCCGGCCGGGCCGGTGGTGACGTGCTCGTCGGCCGGGCCGGTGGTGGGGTAGAGGTGTGTGTGGTGGTGAGCCGCTAGAGACGCCGTTCAAACAAAAAAAGAAAATGCGCGCCGACTCCTTGTGTGGTCGCTTTTGCGTTCCTGCACACCTGCAAACAAATGCGGCATGCCGACTCGGAGCCGCCGCCGCCGCCGCCACCGATCTCGCTGCCGCCCATCGCACCGCCGTCGGTGTCGTTGCCGCCCTCCGGCTACGCGCTGGGCACAATCTCCGAGAGCGGGGCTCTGCACCGCTCAGAGAGCCGGGGCGCACGAAGCTTTCATAGCTGTGACTCGCTGTCGTCGGGCCGGCGGGCGCGGCGACCGTCCTTCTCCAACCTGAGTGAAGCCAGAAGTTCGTTTCGTCTCGGCGCCGCCGACCTCGGAGCGGATGTCTCCGATATGCTCAAGACGGCGCGCACGGACCTGCAGCACCTGCCGGGCGTGCTCCGGAAGCACCAACGCCAGTTCTACTTCATGCGGAGCGACTGCCAGCCGGTGCACGGGCTGCGCGACTGGACGCAGGACGAGTGGCGGTGCTGGCTGGCGCGCTTCCCGAGGCTCGGCGACGACCTCGCCCGCGGCCTCCTCCGCTGGCGGGAGGGGGAGGCCGAGGACGTCGGGCCAGAGGCGTGCGCGATCGCTATCAAGATCAAGATGAACCAGAGCCTTACGTACTCGGACTGGCACCTCATCTCCGTCTTCCAAAACCGCGCGCTCAACGCCGGCTTCGGCGACGGGGACGGCGCCATCCACTACTTTGAGTCGGACCTGCTGTCGAACTACATCTTCGACCGCGAGTTCCCGCTCGGCGTCCGCCTCTGAGATCTCAGTCTTGGTTGAGGTTAGCTTGTTGACCTTGAGGTCGATGGACATCTCAGGCGTCGAGGAGCGCATCCTGCAGGACCGGCACCGCTTCGCGATCAACCACTCGGGCGTGCACCGGATCGAGCACCGCCAGAGCAAGGCAGAGCATGCTCGAAGCGTGAACTGTCGTCTTGCGGCGTGACACCCCCCCCTCCCCCTCCCCTCCCCCCCGCAGCTGCTGACCTTCACCGTCTACTTCGTCCTCGCCCTCGTCGCCCTCGTCGTCGTCATCTACCTCCTCGCCCTCATGGTCGGACAGAGCGAGCTCTGGGTCATCAACGCCACCGTGCAGGACTTCAGCGACGGCAATGACCCCTCCACGGAGATCGTCGAGCGCACTAAGAGCCGCGGCGAGGTCGCATCGCTGCTCGCCACGTGCACCTTCGCGCTGCTGATCAACGGCGCGCCTCCCTCCTCCCGCCCCGCGCCCCTCCGTGGCCCCTCCAGCAGTGAGACACGCCAACCGGCCCGGTCGGTCTCCCCCCCCTCTCCCCCCTCTCCTCTCCAGGCATGCTCGACAAGTTTGGGCTGATCGACCCCTCCTCCTCCACCGTCTTCATCGGCATGTTCCTCGGCGGCACGTGGGGCTTCGTCCTCGACCAGATCTTCGGGAGCGACGAGGGCTACCGCGAGTACCTCTCGACAGTCTCCAGTGACGGCCCGTCCATTCAGCGACCCTCCCGATCGCAGTGTTTGTGGCTCGTAGGTACCTCTGGTCGCCGCAGGACGGGATGAAGTACGCGATGGGCGTCCTCGTCTCGGAGCGGTACGGCCGCTACCTCGTCACGATCCTGTTCGACATGTGAGTCGTAAAAGTAGTAGTAGGCTAGCAGCAGTTAGCAGCAGCAGCAGCAGCAGCAGCAGCAGCAGCAGCAGCAGCAGCAGCAGCAGCAGCAGTATAGTAGGCAACCTTCACTCCAAGATCTGCGTTCGACATGGTTGCTTCCTCTCCCCCGACCCTCTTGTCCCCCCCCCCCCCCCCCTGCCCTTCCCCCTCCCTCCTCGGCGCAGGTTCTTCACCACTATCCTCTTCAAGCAGCTCTTCTCGCGCGCCCTCCGGCTCGCCATGTTTACGGCGACGCGGCTGCTCTCACAGCACACGCACGCCACCGCACCGAGAGCGAGCAGCGGGCCCCTGTGAGCCTAGGTCCGGGGTCGGGAGTGGCTCGCCAACGCGTTTGTGTCGGCGGTCATCTCCTTCGTCACCTTCAAGGTGTACGCAAACATGACTCGCTTCGAGTGGGCGTACCCGTCGGGGCAGGAGGGGCGGGGCGAGTGGATCCAGGGCCAGACGATGGTCCTCGCCACCGTCATCATGAGCATGGTCTACCTCACCTCGGAGACGCGCGCGCGCGTCGGGGAGCCGGGCATCAACGACCCGAACATCAAGCTCGCCGTCGTGCTCTTCACCTTCTTCATCCTCTGGATGCTGCAGGCACGCCCCCCGACCTAGGGTTTAGGTTAGGGTTAGGGTTAGGGTTAGTTCATCCTCTGGATGCTGCAGGCACGCCCCCCGACCCCCGCCCCCGCCCCTCTGCACTGAGCCGCTCGATGTCTCGCCCACTCGAGCCAACCCCATGCCACCCCCGCCCCCCCCTCCCCCCCCTCCCCCCGCCCCTCCCCCCCGGTGCGTGGCTGTAGGCGCAGAAGGTCATCGACCCGGCCTACGACATCATCCTGGTCGACGAGAGGGGCGCCTCCAACACGACGGCGGGCGTAGACGTCAACTTGCCGCTGCAGAACGTCTGCAAGATGCAGGCGCGCGTGCGCCTCACGCTTGACCGCCCGTGGAGAGATGGGTAGAGAGTGGAAGGACGGGGCACGCGTGGAGGCGGTGGAGGCCGCGTGGGGACCCTCTCCTTCCCACCCCCTTCTCTCTCACCCTTCTCCCTGCTTCACACCGCAGCACCGTGCGCCCCTGGGCTTCCTCGCCTTCACGGCCATCACAATCTTCTCCCTCGGCTTCGTCATTTTCCTCACCAGCGTGCAGACGCTCTCCGGACTGCGGCAGTCGTGCCGCGGCTGCCCGAAGCTCCCCTGCCGCATCGGGCTCCGGCGCTCGGGGGAGGGAGCAGCGACCACGCCAGCGTCGGCACACAGCGCCAGCCCCACACCTAGCTGAGCCCTCCCCGCGCGCGCATTCCGTTTAAGCTGGTCAGCTCTTGCGCCGTTAGGTTGCGGGGTCGGGGGGAGTCTCGCCAGTGACTCTCTCGTCGGCGGTGTCGCCGCAGACCTTCGATGTGGGCTCGGACACTTCTTCCTCGTCTTCCCCCGATCGTGTCGCGCAACGGCTCAAGGCCGTCCAGGATCGGCTTGCGTCGATCCGATCCGTGCAGCAGCGCACGGAGCGAGCCAAGCGGTGGCAGTCGGAGACGATTTCCGCCCACAGCAGCGGGACGCGGCGGCGTCCGCCCTACACCCGCCCGGCTGTGCGTGCACGCCCGCAGCCCCCCCCCCCCCCCCTCCCGGCCAAGGGCCGCGTCCCCACACACATACCCAACGTGGGCTTTGTCATGATAGGTGCGCAACGCGCTACCGGTGGTGAAGCTGCGGGGTGGGCTCGAGCTGTCGGTGCCGATCCCGCAGCAGGCGGGGCTCAGCGATCGGCTCAAGGGCAAGCTGGCCATCTTCGCCATCTTCCTGTCGCTCGTCTTCTTCTTCTTCGGCTTCTTCGCGCTGGTCCCTTTCTACAGCGCCGACGGCGAGCGCGACAAAGAAGAGTGGTGGGAGCACTGCCGCACCAACTACGACCCTGACGCCCTCGAGGCGCTGGGGCTCAGCTGAGTCAGCGGCCCCGGAGGTCTCCCTCCCCCCCCACTCCTGTGCGCAGCAAGCCGCTGCCCGCGGTGTAGCACGTGCACACACGCGCAGACGGCCGAGCGAGTGAGCTTGGCCCTGGCTGGCCGCCTGGCGAGCCTCTGGGCGGGGCATTTAATTATCGAGCGAGCATGGCCTGAACGCTCGCTGGGCATGCGGCGCAGCCATGACCCATGCATGTCGGTCCAGAGTAAGAAAGAGCTCAGACCAAGAGCTTCCAGGTGTGAGCGTGACTGACTGTGATCTGTGTTGTAACTTGTATTCTCGCGTATTGCGTATATGGACGTACATATATCGATCATTTAAGCTTTATCATGGGAGAAATTTATCGAAGAAGGATAGGAAAGTGCCCTCGAGAGAAAAACTCCAGCTGACTGAAATTTGTCTGGTAATTTTTCACCTGTGTTACTAGTCAGTGCGCGCCAGACCCAGTCTTGTGCCTAAGCGCTAACCGTTAGGGCCTAAAGAAAGAAAATCAACAAGCCAAGGGAGGGATAATAAATAGAGCAGACATCTCCTGGAGAGATAGGGGGACAACCCGACGGGCAAACCCCGCCCCGCTCGGAGGGCGTGCACCACACAGCACTAAGGGAGGGATATGGCACGCCGCCTCCGTCGGAATGAAATTAATTCTTTTTCATGGTGCACCCGCGACACGGAATTCTTTTCACCACCTTTTTGCAAGCATGAGCGAAGAGAGCGCTCCGCCCCCTGGGCGCGACAGAGAGAGCGCTCCCGGGCGTTCGCGCAAGAAAGGCGGCCCGAGTATAGACTACAAGTACGAGGCTTGCATCGACTGGAATCATTACGGGCCAGCTTGCTGCGCCGAGCAGACCCGTCTCTACTCGCTCTCGGTCGCCGAGATGTACTGGCGCGTCGTCTCGCCGGTCCGGCAACGCGAGCTGGAGCTTTCGCGCAACACGCCGGCCCTGCTCAAGGACCACGGCCCGTTCTCGCACATGCGGCGCGCGGGCACCCTCCCTCCGCCCAGGCCGCCCAAGCTCGACGCTGCCGGCAACGTCATCGCCTCCAAGCCCGTGGAGCGGGTGCTCTACAAGGACGGCGATGGCGAGGAGTTTGAGGTGACGGCGGACCGGAAGCGCAAGCTGAGCGACGTGTCCGCGGCGCTGGGCTCGCTCGCGCTCTGCCCACTCCTGGTGCGCATCTGGGAGCGCGACGGCACCCCGATCACCGCCGACGCCCAGTGTGCGTGCCAGCGGCTCGGCGGCGCCACGACGATGCCGGCGGCGACGGCGGAGGGCTCGGGCGTCGTGAAGAAGGAGGAGGGAGGGGAGGGCGGCGGCGGCGTGGCGGAGGGCGTCGGAGCAGACGCCCCTCCGCCCAAGAAGCTGCGGCCCCCCTCTCGGCCTCCCGCCGACCGCAGCGCGGCTCGCAGACCGACGGGCGGCGGCGCGGCTGCAGACAGAGAGGTGGGGAGAGAGGGAGGGAGGGAGGCGGAGGAAGAGGGCACGGTCCTGTAGGCGCGTCCGCGGAGCCTGGCGCCGCCGAGAGCACCAACGGCGCCGCGACCCCCTCCTTTCGCCTGTTGTCCTCTCTCTGCGGCACTTGTGAGGTTGCCTTCTGTTGCAAACTGCAGGCAAGGCGAGCGGTGGCGGCAGGGCGGGCAAGGGCGGCGGCGAGGGCAAGGCGGAGGGGGAGGCGAGGCGAGGCGGCGGCGGGAGCGCGGCTGCAAAGTCGACTCGCGCCGCGACGGCGGCGGCGGCGGGCTGCCTCTGCGTGTGTTGCGGCGGACAGCGCACTGCGCCGTTGACTGTGTGTGCGTGCGAGAGCAGGTCTGCCGGCTCGGCGCGCTCGACTCGCTGCTGGTGGAGGCGACGAAGGCGGACGAGGACAGGGCGGGCCGACCACCTCGCCCTCCCCCACCCCCGTCCCTTGCCCCCGTCTCCCTCCCGCCTGCCTTCGTCCACAATCTCCACCCCCCCCCCTCCCCGGGAAAAGGGGCTTTGTTTTTCCCCCCCCCCCCCCCACCCCTTTCCCCCCCCCTCCCCCCGCAGGTGGCGCGCAAGCTGCGAGCCAACGCGCTGCGGCTCGCCTGGCAGGAGCCCCTCCTCCTTTCCGCCGCTGCGCCTGTCGCCCGAAAGGCGCCAGCTGAACCCCTCCGACCCTCCCCCGACCTCTTGCCGTGACATCCCCCCCCCCCCCCCTCTCCCGCCGTGCTGGCTGGCAGGAGCCCACCGCCGAGTCCAAGGTCGCCGAGTGCGTGCCGGAGGAGGAGCGGCCCCTGCTCGAGCGGCTCGCCGCCGCCGCGCAGCTCCACGACGACCTCAAGTCCAGAGCCCGCCCCTCCGACGCCCCTCCTCTCGGGGAACACCTCCAGGACACCTTCAGGACACGGCCGGGACGCGTCCCGTAGGGCCGAGCTGCACGCCGAGCTCCGCCTCGGGGAGCCAGAGTCGTCCAAGCGGCTCACCGCGGCACACTCGAAGGAGCCCCACTCCTGCGCCCCCCCTTCAAGTCACCCCACCCCCTACCCAGCCAGCCAGCCCTCTCACCCCTCGCCCGGTCACGACTCGCAGGCAGTCACCGCCGCGGCCAAGCGAGTCGCGGCTGCGAGCAGCAAGGCCGAGAAGAGCGACAGGGGCGACCTCAGGAGCGACCTCAGGAGCGAGATCAGGAGCGAGATCAAGAGCGAGATCAAGAGCGACGCCAAGAGCGACGCCAAGGGCGACAAGCCGCCTCCCGCAAAGAAGGCGCCGCCGCGCCTCGTGACCCCCCCCCCCCCTCTAACGGGCCCTTCAAACCAAGAGGCGGCTCCCCACCTCTAGGCGCGGCCTGCGCGCGCAGCGACGCACCAGGCGGCGGCGGCGGCGGCGCCGGCGCTGCCAGCCAGCGTGCAGCAGGCGGCAGCAGCAGCAGCGGCGACGGCGGCGGCAGCGACGGCGGCGGCCGCTGCGGCGGTGGCCCAGCAGCAGGCGAGAAATGCGGCGCTCGAGCCGACGATCCCGCAGCCTCCCCCGGCGCTCGTAGCTGCGGCGGCGCCCGCACCCGTCGCACCGCCGCCGCCAGCAGTGGCTGTGGCGCCGGCGCCGGCGCCGGCACCGGCACCAGGGCCACCTCCGCAGCCGAACATGGCAGCCATCGCGCAGAACATGCAGCCAACGATGGCGCGCCTCGCCGCGGCGTGCGCAGCCAGAGGAGCCGACCGCGCGCCCACCGTTGCGCGCCCCCGCCCCTCGCCACAGGCGCCGATGGCTAGAATTGCGGGCTCGCTGTTCGACGCCTTCAACCCGCCGCTTGCGCCGCCGACGATGCCGCCGACGATACCGTCGCTGCCGCAGACAGCCGCAGCGCCGCCCCAATCCTGAGCCAGTGCTCGCGGCGGCACGGCGGCGCTTCCATTGCGACAGCCACACGCACATGGAACGCAGTGGGAGAGCAGTGCCAGAGAGTCGGGTGCACTGGCGCGAGGTGGAGGACGCGCTTGTGCTCCTCTGGTCCCGCCCCGCGCGCTGACGTTGCCGCCGTGAGCGCGCTCGATCCATATCGAGCGGCGCGCGGGTTTGGCGCGTTGCGCGTTTGCGGCCCGCGCAGTGTTTTTGCGCACCACCCGCGGCTCGTATGATTGTCCTTTGTCGTGCGGTCCCGTGGACCGTGCGCCCCCGGGAGTGTATACGAAATTCTGTAAAGCGCGTTCCAGCTTCCACTCACACCCCACACCTCTCCCGCAGCGCGCACGGCACAGCCGGAGCCGCGGGCGGGTGTTGCGGGTTGGACTTGAGGGGAGCCCCGATGGGCGATGGGGGACGGGGCGCCAGGCGCCAGCGCTTACGGCTCTACAGATACGCGGCACAGAGCACTAAGCAGGATCGGACGAAGAGAACCCTCCCGCGCAAGAGCGCGCGGGATGCTCAGTAGCCGCCCTCCCGGATCGGGTCCTGCAGTTGCATCGCGCGGTACTTGGCGGTAGCCGCCTCCCACTGCGGCGTCATCGTCGAAGGCAGCTTGTGCGAAACTGAAGCAAGGAGCACGGGTCGGGAGGGGGGGGGAGGGCTTGGCAAGGAACAGACCAGTGAGGAGCGCACTCGACATGAACCAAAGCTGGCCCACCACCAGGCCCGCAACGGTCAGGCCAATGCTGCCAGCAAAGACAATGGAGCCCTCGCTCTTGAGCGCAGCCAGCGGGCCAAGGCCCTGGAGATCGCGCTCCGTGAGGCAACGAGCAACCCGCGACACGCGCATGGCGCCTGAGGGTCCAGATGAGTGGACATACGGTCAAGAGCTGCTCCGCAGTGTCTTTTACTGCCGCCGCCTCCAATGCGGCAGCGTCTGAGCGCGCTCGCAGCATCGGGGAGCGGCGATGGCGGGGGGAGGGAGGGGGAGAGGCAGGGGAGATGATAGCTGAACGTGCGGGGTGGCTGGAGAGTCCAATTTGCCGCGCCGCCCGTTCTGCCGCCGCGGCGGATGAGGGCGCTGCGGGCAGAAACTCGCCTGTTCTGCGCGATCGGCCGAAGCAAAGAAGTAACGCAGCGAAGCCTCCCTCTCACTTGCGTCGCTGTCCCTTGTCAGGAGCAGGAGAACTAGGAGAGCGCAACCAGTAGGAGGCCCGCGCCTGCCCCCGTGCCGCCGGGTGCAACCTGTCCTATACGAGAGAGGAATCCCTGGGACCCTGTCGTGTGGGTGAACCCTGCCCAGCCCCCCTCCGTGTCGCGATGCGCTCCCCGCTCCCGTTCCCCTGTGTCCCTGATCGTCCTTACAAGATCCTGCTCGTGCAGGTGGGGACCCTGTCCTTCTCCCACCCCTCGTTTGGCGTGCCCGTTTTATTTATTTATTTATTTAAATCCTGCAACGTGTCTGTATTAGCGTACGATGTTGAAGGCGAGAATACCACGTTCGGATCGCTCCTCATCGCAAACCCTGTCAGCAGTTCACCTACGGGTATGTTCGTAAGAGCTACATACACTAGGTGAAGAACAGCCAGGCTCGGACTGGACACCAACGCGGTATGGGTGGACGCTAGACAGATGATGACGACACGCACGAGCGACACACAGACACAAACAGGCTCACAAGACACACAGCCAGCTGGCTGCCACACACCCTGAGTAGGCGTACACATAACTCAGGGCCACATCCTCCCTGTCGCCCCCCCCAGCGCTCCAAGGCACCAGAAGAACAAACAGGGCACAACAAACAACAGACAACAGGAAGTGACATGCGAGGCTAGAGCAGTCTTGCTCTACCTCCAGCAATCTCGCCGGCCGGCGAGGCACGGACGAGACCGTGTGTGGGGTCATGTGAGGTGTCTATGGACGCTCTCCTCAGAGGCTAGCTGCCTACGGCTAGCCCTATCTCGCACTCACGGGCAGTGACAATTCAATGGGTGAGTGTTTGCGAGCATTCACTGAGAGAGAGAAAATGTAACAAAAAACAAATTCGGCGGCGCGCGCGCGCGCGCAGCGACCCAAGCGACCGCCCACCTCGTTGCGCCCTTGGCCTCGCGGTCGCGTCCAGCTCGTTGGGAGCCTCGCCCTCCGTCGCATGAGCCCACACCGTCGTCGTCGTCTGCGTGCGCGATCTCGGCTGTTATGCACCCTCACGACGGGCGGCTCCGCGAGCTGCTGAAGTCCTTCCCGCTAAGCCTCTGCGACGAGAGCGCCTGCCGCCGCCACATCGCGTCGGCAGCATTCCGCCACGCCCCAAACCTCACATCTGCGTGTGGCGAGGAGCTCGGCGCTATGGCGAGTGATGCGGCGAAGGAGGAGGACCTCGCACTCACCCTCAAGTGGCTGTTTGACGAGGCGGAGGTGCGCGCCGGCTCTGCCAGTGCCACAGGCCCGGCGGCTCGCGTGGTCCGAAGTTCACTCTTTGTTGTCTTTGTGATGCTCCTTCATGCGGCCCTGATGCACGCGCCTCCGTCGGTGGCTGCCCGGCACGCCGAGGGTGCACTGCGTTGCCTCCACCGCCTGGCTGCTGGCGCGGTGCAGCTCCCCGAGCTGGACGAGCTCACGCAGCGGCTGCTGCCGGCCCTGTCGCCTGGTCGCCTCGCGCCGCTGCTCGAGGAGCTGCTCGAGACGTCCCGTCTGTCGGCCGCGGCACTCGCCCTGCGGTTGACGGCCGCCGCCTTTGCATCGCCGGAGCCTGGCGACGGCGGCAGCGGCTGCGACAGCAGCGGCGGCGGCGGCGGCGGCGGCGGCGGCGGCGGCGAGGCGCACGTGCTGCTACCGCGCTCTTCGCTGCCGCAGCTGCTCACCGCTGCCGCACGCCTCGCACCCTCTGCGGTCGCTGCGCTCCTTCGCACCTCCCTCGGGCGGCTGCGGGTCGAGCGGCGAGACGAACTCGGCAGGGCGCGGGCGGTGGTCGGCGCGCTGCTCGAGGTCGCGCGGGGCCTCCTGGGAGAGGAGGCGGCAGTGGCAGGTGGCGGCGAGGGAAGGGAGGGGGAGGAGGCCGCAGCCACTAGCGCCGTCGCCACCGCCGCGTGCTCGCTCGCCTTCGAGCTCCTGCCTTTGGTGGCGGACCCGCTGCTGCCCGAGCTGCAACACGGCGCCCTCGCCCTCGCCCTCGCCGCCCCTCAGCCGTGGCAGCGGGAACGGTGCCTGTCACAGCTCCGCGACGCCGTCTGCTCCTCGCACAACCACGCGCGCAAGCCAGGGCTGGTCCGATGGATGCTCGAGGTACACGGCGTCGCTCGCGGGACAGCCAAGAGCAGACTGTGACTCTGCGAATGGGATTCCCATTCGCATTCTTGCCGCATGTACCATTGTGGATCCATGTTCCGCGTCACCGTCAGCCAGCGCCACAGGGTTTGCGTTCTCTCTTTCGCTCGTGATCACGTTACCCCACCTCGCCGCGAGGCGAGAGAGCGCGTCGTCGGCGCCTGCGCCCGCCTGGTCGGCGCACGGGCCACGGCGGCGTCCGGTGTGATACCATCATTTGACAGATGCCTACTCAAAGCTAAAAATAGTTCCTCCGCCTCGCTATAGGCTCGCGCGAGACGCAAGGCACCATCCATCCTGGAACCCCTAATTTAAAGCAGCTTGCGCGGGTCCCGGCACACCCCCACCGGTCCCGACCCCGTCGACCGTGCTGGCCTCGTGCGCTGCGCCCGCCGCGCGCGCACGCCCCGCCAACGCCGCGCCGCGCGCTCTCCACACGCACGCGCCGCCGCCCCAGAGCCCGAGCGGGCGCCGCCTCACAGCACCTCCGCCTCACAGCACCTCCGGCACGACGGCCTCTCCGCCGTCCGAGTCGCCGTCCGAGCTCTCGGCCGGCGCCTCGCTCGGCACGGCGTCGGCGGGAGCGGCGGCGTCGGCGGCGGGCGGCTCCTCCTCCGCGGCCTCCTCCGCCTCGCCCGTCATGAGCGTGACCACGCGCGCGGCGAAGGCGGCCGGGTCGGCGAGCTCATACCCGCTCGAGACGGCGGCGACGTCGTACAGGAGGGTGGCGTAGTCGCGCGTGCTCGTCGCGTTGGCGTCCGCCGCGACGAGGCCCTTGAGCTTACGCACCGCCGCGTGGGCCGGGTTGAGCTCGAGGTTGGCCGCCATGCCGCCCATGCCTCCGAGGCCGCCGAGGTCGTCTCCCGTCGCGGCCGCCTGCGCCTTCATGAAGCGCTGCATCTGCGGCGACATGCCCCACTGCGGCTGCACCAGCGCGGAGGGGGAGGAGGTCAGCCGCGACGACACCTCGACCTTGTCCACCTTGTCGCCCAGCGCAGCCTTGACGGCGGCGCACGTCGCCTCGAGCGACTTCTTCGCCTCCTCGACCTCCGCCTTCTCCTCGTCCGACTGCTCGCCGAGGTCGACGTTCTCCTTGGCCGCGTCGACGACGTCAAAGTCGCCGAACTTGCCCACCCCCTGCAGCGCGATCTCGTCGATCTGGTCGAGCGCCACCAGCACCTCGTACCCCTTCTTGCGCAGTGACTCGATGACGGGCGACGAGGCGGCCGCCGCCTTTGAGGCGGCCGACACGTAGTAGATCTGCTTCTGCCCCTCCTTCATCCGGCCGACGTACTGCGGCAGCGTCGTGCCGCTCGCCTTTGGCTCGGCGGTCGAGGTGAAGGTGGCGAGCTTGAGGAGGGCGTCCTTGTTGTCGCGGTCCTCGATGACGCCGACCTTGATGTAGCGGCCAAAGTTGGAGGAGAAGCGGGCGAACTTGTCTTCGTCCTTCGCGATGTCGCCGATCATGTCGAGCGCCTTGCGGACGAGGCGCTTGGAGATGATGGAGAGCACCTTGCTCTTCTGGAGGATCTCGCGAGAGACGTTGAGCGGCAGGTCCTCCGAGTCGACCACGCCCTTGATGAAGGAGAGCCAGCGCGGCAGCAGCTGCTCCTCGAAGTTCTCCGAGATGAAGACGCGCTTGACGTACAGCTTGACCGGCTTGACCTTGTCGTTGAACATGTCCTGCGAGAGCTCCCACGGCACCGAGGAGGGGAGGTAGAGCAGCGCGCGGAACTCGACCTGGGGCGAAAGGGCGGGGAGCGAGCGGGAGGGCGGAGTGAGCCAAGGCGGCGAGGCGGCGAGGCGGCGTCGGGCGGGCCCCGCCTGCCCCTCGAGCGAGAAGTGGACGTGCGCGTCGGGCTCGTCGTACGCGCGGAAGGTGGCCTTGTAAAACTCGGAGTACTCGTCCTCCTCCACCTCCTTCGGCGGCCGCATCCAGATCGGCTTGGCCACGTTGATCGTCTCCCACTCGTTGCTGGTCTTTGGCACCTGGCGCAGAGGAGGAGGAGGAGTGAAGACTGGAGCAGAGGAGGAGGAGTGAAGAGGCGGCGGGTGGTCTGACGGCCGCCGCTCTGTCTCCTGCGCCGTCTTGGCTTGCGGCCCCACTCCGCTCCTCCCTCCCCCTCCTCCTACTCTGCCGCACCGTCTTGGTCGGCGGCTCCTCCCCCTCCGTCGCCTCGGCGTCTGGGTCGGGCACGGTCTCGTACTCAGTCTTCTCCGTCCACAGGGCGATCGGGAAGGAGATGAACTCGGAGTAGCGCTTGAGCATGTCGCGCAGCGTGTAGTCCGACACGTACTTGTCCGCGTCCTCCTGCAGAGGGGCGCGGGCCGCGGTCAGAGGCGAAGGCGCGGGGCTGGCGCGGGGGATCGGGGCGGCTGCGGGCGAGCTGCTGCCGCGGCGCGGTGTGCTGCCGCGTGTGTCGCGTGTTGAGGTGCAGCGTGGGGCGCGTGCCGGCCGTTGTGTCTCGGCTGCCTCTCGACTACATCTCGCGCCTTGAGGTGCAGCGTGAGCCGCGTGCCCGTCCCCTCGATCGGGGTCGAGTCGTCTTGCGAGATGGTGTACGCAGAGGCGGCCGCAGACTCCCACTTGAGCTGCTCCCCGTCCGCAGACTTGGAGACGACGGTCACCTTGTCGGCGACGAGGAAGGCGGAGTAGAAGCCCACCCCGAACTGCCCGATCAGGTTGGTCGCGTCCCCCCCCGACCCGAGCGCCTCTGTAAACTTTTTCGTGCCCGACTGCGCGATCCGGCCGAGGTTCTCGCGCATCTCCTTGCGCGTGAGGCCGATGCCATTGTCCTCGATAGTGAGCGTGTTGGTCTCCTTGTCCGCCACCACGCGAATACGCCCCTCGTACGCCGACCCGCCGTCCTCCGTCAGCGAGAGGAACCGCTTCTTGTCGCAGGCGTCGGAGGCGTTGCTGATGAGCTCGCGAAGGAAGATATCCTTGTCCGAGTAGAGAGAGTTGATGATAATGTCCATCACCTTGGCAACCTCGGCCTCGAACTCGAACGTCTCGCTGCCGTCCTCAGCCACAGCGGCGTCCGCCATCAGCACCGTCGCCGGCCGCCGCGCCGGCCGCACGTTGAGCGGCCGGCTGTCGCCGTCCGCGGCTGACGAGGCGGCGGCGCGAGGCGCACCCGGGAAGGAGGAGAGCGGACGCGCGACAAGCGCGGCCGACGACAGCGACGCAACGAGGAGGAGCGCGAGTCTGGAGATCATCTGCGTGGAGTTATCTAGAGCGCCACGACCCACGTGCGTCGATCTAGCGAGCTCACGCGAAGAAAGAATCTTATCGCCGCCTCGCACAACACTGGGCACGGGACTGGCTCGCACTGGCACTAACACAGGTGCGAAGAAAGAATGCTGGTCCAGGGAGGCCGAACGAGGGGTGACGTCGAGTGAGGATGTACGTCGTGTGCGTGTCTGGTGTTTATTAGCTCCGAGTAGAGCTAGAGGGGGCGCTCCGCTGCTAGGGGAAACCTGGAGCGCGGACTGACCCTCGGAGACCCAGGTGGCGTTTATTTTTGCGTGGGGCGGACATCATGCCGGGGTAGGTAGGTAGGGTCTGGGCCCTCCCGTCGGGTTTTTCCCTCTCTTCACGCTGGAATTTTCACAGCAGAAAAAGAAATTTTCCCCGGAAATCACGATGTCAACCCTCCCCAAATGGGTGATCTGATGCTTGTAGGGCTTGAGAGTGGCCTGCCATGTCACAGGAAGGACTGTGGTTGCAGGATAGTACCACCAACCATCACTCTAGTTGGTATAGTACCCCACCTTCACGCCTCCGATGATTTCTTTTTTAGTTTCCCATAAGTAAGGTAGGTAGGTAGGTAGGTAGGTAGGGGCACCGCAGGGGCCGGTCAGGTTTTTCCAGAATTTCAGCATGATGTCCGCCCCACGCAAAAATAAACGCCACCTGGGAGACCCGTGTTTACTTTACGGCCCTTTCCCTGCGAACGCGCACCCCCGGGGCTAAGAATGCATGCCGCTTTTTTGCTGTTCCCACTTGAAAAAAATCGGATGAGGGACACCTGTTTGTTCATTGGCCGGAATGAGCTCATTAGGACGAAGCGGGAGATGTATTCACACCGCAGAAACCAGACCCACAGGCAGATCCCACGGGAAATCGAGGCGGGTGTCCCAGAAAACAGATCCCAGAAAAAACAGAGAACGCCGCAGAAACCGACCGACCCCTGGGTTTTCGGCTATGGGAAACCGCCATGGGAAACCGCAGCAGAAACCCTATGGGAAACCGAGGTCTGGTGTCTGCTTTGTGCACGAATGCTCTTTCGAGCGACGCGACAGAGGAGGAAACGACAGAGGGAGAACGACGAGAGTCAGTGGGACGACCGCGAGGTGGCATGAAGGTTGCAACAACACAACCGCCTCGAGCGGCGGCACGCCCGCCTCCGTTGGCCACTCCTACGCCTTCGGCAACACCGAAGAGAAGGCCCGCCGCCTAAACATGGGCTGCAAGGCGCGCGGGCAGCCCGGCCAACCCTTCGACCACAAGAACGGCCACGGCTACGTCAAGGCGCATCGCGGTTTCTACCACGACGCGATCTTTGTCAAGCGCAACAACTTCAACCTGCTGCTCCACGAGACGTTCGGCGGCGGCTTCTCGCCCACCGCCGTTCTCAAGCTGCGCCGCCTCGCGCGCAAAGTCTCGCGCGCGGCAGCGTGCCGTCGACCGCACGGCCTACTCGCCCAAGTACTCGCTCTCTTTTATGTCCCACCATGCAGAGCGCATCTCTCTCTCTGTTGTGCGAGGCGTGAACCGCGCCATTCGCTCTCACCTGGCAACCCTGTCTGCACGTCTCGCGCGCGCGTGAACAGGGCTCCAGGCCCCAAATGACGTGTGAGTGTTAGAGTTGTTTGGTATTGTCTGCGTTGGCGTCGTGCGCGGCCTTGTCCGCTGCCTGTCCCCGCAACTTGAGCTGCCCCCGCACGGCGACCATCGCGTTGGCGGTCTGCGCAGCAAGCTTGGCCGCCTTCGCCGATCTCTCTCGCTCTGCCGCCGCTGCCGCGTCCACGGGGCGGTCCGTCAGCGGGTCGTCGCGCAGCCGCCCGTCGGCGTCGGCAGCCTCAATCATGGCAGCGTCGGCAGCCTCGCTCATACGGGAGCGCAGCGACCTGAAACGGTCCGTCGACAAATTCGAAGCGCCCGCCGAATTCGAAACGTGCGCCGCTCCCGCCGATCTCCCGCTAACGGACCTTACACGCCTGTAACCTCTCTTTAAGGTATTGCTAAAAATCTCTCTCAAGGTTGCAGCGTCCAGCGAGAATCGGCGAGGGACTGCGAAGGGAGATAGAAAGAGGCAGACGCCCAAGGGTTAGGGTGGGCGAGGGCTAGCACCACACTCCTCTCCTTAAAATCCCTGTATGGTGGCGGCGTGCCGTCCTCATCCCTCCCTTGGGTTGTGTGTTTTCTTTCTTTCTTTTTACTCTCTTTCTCGACTCTCTTTCTCTTCGCCCTGTGAGCTGTGTGCGGTGGCGGGGCCTCTGCCGTTCTCCCGCCCCGGGTGAGGTGTCTTTTCTTTTTTTGGGATTCTCGTAACGACTCGGAGCGGTTTTCAAAGCAGCCGCCGTGACCGTGACCCGACACGGACCAGCGACCTCCTTTTGTCAAGAGTAATGGCGGTCGCGGCGGATCGGATGGCACGGCTGCGTCTCGAAGTGGAGCATGTCGCGCGGCTACCTTCATGTAGTATCGCCGCCTTGGGATGGGCCATGGGCATGAAGCTCGGCGACAGCGTTCTCAAGCAGTCGCGGGACGTGGCGCTTCAGCAGGCTCGGGAAGCGGCGCTTCGGCAGTCTCGACCGGCGCCCGTGCGCCTCGGTATCGCAAAGAAGCCCGTGCGGAAGATGCAAAAGGCCGCAAAAAATTCGGCCACGCCTCAAGTCGCCGCGACGCCGAAAACGATGCTCGAAGGCTTTGCCTGCGCCCTCGGCGGCCCTCCCTCCCGGTCGCAAAGTGGGCTCGTCGCGCCCTCGCTATCGCCCGCGACCTCGCCCACTTTGTCGCCGATGCAGCTCGCGAGCCTCCTCTCCACGCCCGAAATCGACGGAATCATGAGCGGCGGGCTGCCGCCGCCCCTGCTCGGCTTGCCGCCGGCAGAGGCGGCCTCGGGGCCCAAGGTCGGCGGGTCGTGGCTCACGGCGATGCCGCCGGGCGGCTTGCCCTTCCAGGGCGTCATCGCAGCGCCGGGACCCTTGTGAGCGTCTCGCGCGCCGCGTGCTTTTTGCCGGATGCGCCCGGAATCGGGTGCGCAGATCCCCGAGGAAGAGAGTGCGCAAATGTGCGCTCCGCCAAGACAGACAACAGTGATAGTTACTACTAGGGCATGATTCCCTTTGTGCATGTGCATACATGTTACGCGTCGGTGTTGTGCACTCACGGTGAAGAGACATACATTTAACATGGGCGGATGGGGGTGATCGCCCACCGGCACGTGGACGTGCTGCGGCCCCCGTTAGCGTTCGTACACACACATCACACACACACACACTTCGCGTGCGCACCTGGCAACAGTGCGGACCCTACAGGCGCGACCACCCTATGGCGCCATCGGCCGACGGCGACGGCACTCCAAGAAAAGGCCGCCCCTGTCTCACGCATGCACACCGTAGAGGGAGCGGACCGTGAGTTGAGGAAATCGGAGGACGCGACCCACTTCGCCACAGACGGTCCCGCGCCTCGCCGCTAAGACGGGTATACGACCGCGGCTCGTGTGCGTGTACCCGTCTTTGTCCGGAGTGAAAAGTCCAACGCGCTCGTCGGTGACGGCGTCCTCCAACCTGCGCCGCGCTCGGCGAACCTCGACAGCGCTTTCGGTGGCATGCAGCTCTTTGCGCCTGAAGCCTGGAGAGCAGCTCCTCTGCTGCTCACACACTCTGCACAGTTGACACAGCCTACTGTACGGCTGCCACAGCTGTCACAGCGATGGGCTCGCCCTCACTGGCCCTCAGTCACTTGTGCTGCGGCTTGTGTGAGCGACACTGCTCGGCGACTGCCGGCACACTGTGAGACCATGGGTGTGAGGTTAAACCACGCTACCAGCGCTTGGTCACATCGGCCCCGAGGTCAGATCCTTCTACTCTGTTGATGACAAGACTTGTCTACTGGCTGGAGCCGAGCAGGAGGGCCCAGCGCACAACCCCTGGTCAACTCAGGGTCCACACCCCGTAACCTGAGTCTCTCTCTTTTTCTCTCTCTCTCTCTCAGAGTTAGGCCATGTGTTCTGCGTTCTCCTCTCGCCCCGTCCCCCGCACGGCAGCCGCGAGAGAGGGACATCTCCTCCTACGGCAGGCTCCTCCTACGGCAGGCCGGGGGGCGGCGCCATCCCGTCGTCATCGCCCTCGCCCTCGTAGAGGCTGTAGATGTCCTCGAGCGCCTTTGCGACCTCCTCCGCCGCGATGCTCTCCTCGTCGCCCGACGGTGCGATGAACGACGCACCGCCGCCCTCCCCCTCTGCAGCGAGCTGGGCGAGGGGGGGCGGCTCGGGCGCCGCGGTCGGCGTGGGCGAGAAGTGAAGCTCGTCCCCCAGCTGCAGCAGCTGCGGCACCTCGGCCGGCAGCAGCAGCGAGAGCACCGCGCCCCGCTCGCGCTGCCCGATACGCCTACCGGGGCACGCCACGGACGGACAGTCACCGACACAGTCACCGACACGTCACCCTATCGGAGGGGGGGGGGCTCGGCTATCCCTCGGCCACCCCGCGGCTGTACCACAGCCACCCCTCGGCGTACCTCGGCTGCACCTCGACTGTACCTCGGCTGTACCTCGGCTGTACCTCGGCTGTACCTCGGCTGTACCTCGGCACCTCTCGGCTACACCTCGCCCGACGCGGCCGGCGCGGTGGACGTAGTCTGCGGCGGAGCCGACGATGCCGAGGTTGATGACGTGCGTCACCTGGCGAGATGCAGCCGAGAGATGGAGCTGTCGCAAGCTGTCTCCGGCCCCGCGTCCCGGTTCTGCCCTACCCATCTCTTGCTCATGGCCCGTGACGCTATCCAGCTGGCCCTCTCCCCCAGCTGCTATCCGCTCGGTGCCACCTCGCCCCTAGCCGCGGGAAGTCTATCCCCCCCCCCCTCCCCCCCAACCCTAACCCACGCCCTCCCTCTAGCCGCGGCCTGCGGGAAGTCAAGCCCGCGCGTCGCCGCGGCCGTCGTGACGAGCACGCTGGTCTGGTTCGCGCGGAACATCTCCATCACGCGCAGCGACGACTCGAGCACCGCGAACGTCGCGTCCTCGCCCTCGCCGACCGAGCGCGACGTCAGCGTGTCCTCCGCCGACGGAAGCAACACCGACAGGCCCCACAGACCCGCCTGCAGGGAGGAGTCGAGGGTCGGGCAAGGCATCGCGGCAGCGGCGGGGCGGGGCAGGTGCAAACACGCGCCGTCGCGTCGCCGTCGATGTCGGACCACAGCGCCGCCTGCAGCCGGCTCGCCTGAGGGACGTGTCGCGGACGTGTCGGGGACGTGTGCTCGGCCACTGGGGCCGCCTGCAGCCGGCTCGCCGTGTCGACGGCGGCGTCCGCCGAGGGCGCGAAGACGACCACGCGCGGCGTCGGGCGCGCGGCGGCCTCGCCCTCCGGCGGGGAGGTGAAGAGGAGGCGGAGGAGGCGGCAGAGCGTGCCAAGCAGCTCCTCGGGCCTGCGGGGCACGGCGTGGACGTGTCATGGACGTGTCATGGATGTGTCATGGATGTGTCATGGATGTGTCATGGATGTGTCAGGGAGACGTGCATCTCGCAGACGGCTCCCTCTCGGCTCCCTCTCGGCTCCCTCTCGGCTCCCTCTCGGCTCCCTCTCGGCTCCCTCTCGGCTCCCTCTCGGCTCCCATCTCGTGTCGCCTCTCGCAGACGGCGTACTCGTGCGCCGCGCCAGAAGGGACGCGCTGCTCCAGCTCTCCTGCAGGGGGGGGACGTGTCCGGGACGTGTCCGGGACGCGGCACGGACGAGGACTTGGGGCGCGCTGCTCCAGCTCGCCGTCTGGCCGACAGAGCAGCGCCTACAGGACGGTTCCGAGAAGGCTCGAGGACGGGTCTGGCGGCTCGCCGTCTTGGCAGACCAGAGGTCTCGAGGTCTCGAGGTGCACCGCGGCGCACGACTCGACGCGGGTGGGCGAGACGAGGAGCGGCGCCTGAACCCACCCCCGCCGCGCCGCCTGCTCGACGCAGGCGTGTGTGAGCCCACCCGTCTCTGCACGCATGCTCAGGCGTCGGCTCGGAGGCGGAGATGGAGGCTCGGAGGCGGACGGCCGGCCCGCTCGACGTGAGATATGGGGAGATATGGGGAGATATAGCGGACGGCCGGCCCGCTCGACGTGCGACGCAGAGATCGAGGCTCCGGCGAGCAGCAGCTGCGGGCGCGGCACCGCAAACGCACCGCACGCCTCCTCGAGGCGGCGCATCAGCTGGCTCGTCGCCTGGCGGGGCGGGCGGTGAGAATGTGCGGAGTGGCGAGGCGCGGGGAGGGGTCTAGCAGTGGTGGTAGCAGCAGCAGCAGCAGCAGCAGCAGCAGCAGTGGTAATGGCAGTGCAGTGGCACTGGTGGTGGTGGACGGCTCGGCGCCTCCATCGGCAAGCACACGTCTGCCTCGTCAATGACGAGCGCCTGCCACAAGCAGGCAGCAGCCCCTCACAACGGCTCGGCCACGCTCGGCCGCCTCCTCGCCTACACGGCGCCTGCAGCTGGTGCAGCCGCAGGTTGCCGGACGTTGCGACGCGAGCGAGGTGCTCCGGCGTGCCGACGAGCAAGTGCACGTCCTTGAGCAAGTCTTGGTGCGCCGCCGCGTAGAGCATCTGCTCGTCCCACAAGCCGGCCACCTGGCACCCACGCACCATATGTCTCACAGCTACTGCGGTGCAGCTCCTCCTTCCGTGTCGACCAGCGGCTGGCCTTGACGCGGCGCCGGCCCGCGCAGGGAAGTGCACTCGTTGTGAGTAGAACCAATCCTCTAACCAGCAGAGTGCGATCGTTGCGTAGAATCAATCATCTAATTGGCAGCCTTGACTCGGCGCGGGCCGGAGTAGGTGAACATGTTCGCAGCGTTGCCCGGCTGGTAGCGGCTCGGGTGCGAGAAGGGCTGCAGGGTCGGGTTGCCCGCCGAGCCGCCAAGCAGCCGGTACGCGAGCAGCGACACCTGCAGGGACATGTCCAGGGCATGTCCAGGGCGTGTCCAGGGCGTGTCGTGTGCCGTGCTCCGGAAGGCGAGGCAGGCGAGGTAGGCGAATGGTTGGCGAGCAGCGGTCCTAGCTGTAGCACACGTACCGCACCACTACGCCTGGCACTGGGCGCTGCTACGCCAGTCGCCGCTCTGCTAGCTCGCGGGGCCTGCACGCCGAGCTCGCTTACTCGCACCACTACAGTGCGTAGCTGGCACTGGGCGCTGCTACGCCAGTCGCCGCTCTGCTAGCTCGCGGGGCCTGCACGCCGAGCTCGCGCGACGGGACAACGATCATCGCCACGGGGCGCGGCATCGCGTCGGGCGTCGCCGTGCGGTCGGTGCGCCCTCCGTCGATCGCCGTGGCGAGGTGGCGCGACAGGTCCTCCTGCAGCGGAGGGAGGAGAGAGTGGACTCGCCACTCGCTCGTGGCCAGGCGCGGCGGGCGCTTCCTGCAGCAGGTCCTCGGAGAAGCGGCGCAGCAGCGGCAGCAGGTAGGCGAGTGTCTTGCCGCTACCAGTCGGAGCGACGATGGCGGCGTCGCGGTGGCGCGTCTGCCCGCCCGAGATCTCCGTCAGCCCGCGCAGCGCCTGCACCTGCACCCGCGTGCCCCAGCTGTACCCGAGCCGTCCGAGCCAGTCGCTCAGCCACTCCGGCAGACCGAGCTCCCGCCAGTCGGTGTCGCCGCCGCGCGCCCCGCTGAGCCAGCCGATGCGGTCTCGCAACTCTGCCGCCGCCGCGTAGTCCTCGCGCTGCACTGCATCGTACAGCAGCGTCTCCAGCAGATTGAGGTCGTCTGGCATGGGGGCGCTGCCGAAGCCAGTGTCCGTGGCGACAGAAACGGCCGCCGCCGCGCGACGGACGGCACCGTGCGCGAGGCTGCGGGGACCGACCCTGAGGGCGCCGGTCGCCGAGCACAGCGCGACAATCAGAGGCCTCCACATGAAATAGAGCTCTACCAACGGCGGCGCCAGCCAAAATGCCGAGACCTGCAAAAAAAAAGCGTTTCCATAAAGGGCATGGGACGCGCCGCGCGGGCGCCGCCTCGCCGGCCTTCGCCAACGCCTCAAAAGTGGCGCAGAGTGAGGCGGCGCCCTGAGCGAGTGCGTGAGCCCCGTGGCTCCAACCGGGCCCTTCCTTTTTTGAGCAGGTGTGCCGCCGCGCGAGCGACGCTCCGAGATCGCCCGAGATAGCGCGGCGCGGCCCCGAGATCGCCCGAGATTGCGCGAGATCGACCGAGATCGCGCGGCGCGGCCCGAGGCGAGGTGGATGGGTTTGGAGCAAGGGGGCGGAAGTGATCAGTGCGGTAGAGGGTCAGATCGGGGCGCGTGAGCCGGACTTGTGAGCCGGACGGCTTTCATTTCTCTCTGCGTTCTTGCACATGGAGTGCAAGATACTCGTTCTGTTGCCATCCCAAGCTGTCACTCCCCTTTCTCCCGGCCGGGGTGGGGCGCGCGCGGGGGGCGGCGGGTGTGCGGGATGTCTGTGGGCCCGAGAGCGATATGCCATGTCCGCCTTGCGTTTGTTTCTCATAACATCGAAGGCTAAGCTCAAAAAATTAGGTGCCCGGTAGGCTTGGCTGCAAAGGGGATTTTCGCGTTTTGTTTTTTTATTCAGGGTTTTGCAACTGATTCCGTTTGCAACAAACGGAATCAAGAAAAGAAACGACCGCAAAAGCAGGCGGCGTCTCGTGCTCGACCAGGATCGCCGTCCCGGCGCGAGAATGCAGCCGGGCTTGCCGTCGTGCAGCCCTTTTTGCTTCGGCTCGTCGTCAGCGACGCGCCAGTCCTGGCGCAGCCGCCCCGCCGTGCGGTCCACGGCCTTGCAGCCCGTCGACGCGCCCGACGACGTGACCGCGGCCGAGATGGAGGCCTTCATGGACCACATCCAGCCGAGCTTGTACCAGCCGCCCGACGACAGCGACATCGCCCATGAGTTCACGGCGTGGCTGGCGGCGCGCCGCGAGACGTTGCGGACCGCCGCCGGTGCAGGCCGCCCTCGCGACTCGCAGGCCGACGTCGCCGCACCCGACGCCGCCGGCGGCGAGGAGTCGCCCGACAACGAGACGGGGCGCGCGACTCCGCCCGCACCTGCGCCGGCGGCGGCGTCCGGCCGCCGGCGCCGGCGCAAGCCGCTCGCCGGCGGCGGCGGCGAGAAGGAGAACGCGGACGTCGAGATGGACGCGCTCATGGTCGAGCGGCCCCGGCCTGCGCAGACGGAGCAGCGCTGGCGCGCCGTCCTTGCCGCGCGCCACGAGGATTACGACCGGGAGCTCGAGAAGGACAACCCGGAGCGGCCGTGGCACAGGGTGCCACACTTCCAGGGCGACGTCGAGGCGGAGTGCAAGCTGTGGGCAAGGGTCTCGCGTGCGCTCGGCGAGGCATACGCGCGTGACGGCTGGCGCATCGAGACCATCGAGTTTGACCCCAAGCGACCCGGGCAAGCCAAAACCGCGCGCGCCACGCGCCACAAGAGGCTGCGGGAGGCGGCGAAGCGGGCGGAGAGCAAGGCTGCGGCTGCCGCCGCCGCCACCGCGACGCCGTCGCCCGCCGCCGCCGCCGCGGCGGCGGCGGAGGCCTCGGAGGGCGCGGCGGCGGAGGAGGAGCTGATCGCGGTGCGGCGAGCGCAGGCAGAAAAGACGGCTGCACGGCTGTTCGAGCAGCTGGAGGACGGCGAGGAGGAGGGGGAGGGGGAGGCGGCTCGCGAGGCGTCAGCGCGCACGCTATCCATCGCCACTGATGCCTTGCTGGGCGTTCTCGACGCGGCCGACGGAGGCACCGTCGAGACGAAGGACGCGTACCAAACGGCGGACAAGCCGCTGGGCGAGGGGGAGGCGACGGAGGCGGTCGAGAAGGACAACATCACCATCGCCTTCAACAGGACCATCGTCCGCGAGGTGCGGCGGCTCCTGCAGACGTACGGCGGCGATCACAGGCCGCCGAGCATGGGCGCTGAAATGCACTACGAGCTCGCTGCGATGGAGGGCCCGTACGCTGACCCGAACGCCTTCTCGTGCGACCCGGACTCGCTGTCCACGCAACAGCTCGACGCGCGTTTGCTACTGTGGTACCGGCAGTGCCTCCCCAAGCCGCCGCAATGGCGCGCCGACCCAAAGCTCAAGCAGCAGCCCTGGCGCGGCGACGATGGGCAGGAGCTGCTGCTGCCGCAGAGCTGGCCGTCGCATTGGCTGACGCGCGCGCGGCTGCTCGGCGCGCGGCGCGGCGTCGCGCTGACGCTGCGCGAGGCGGACGCAGAGGCGCACGGCGAGGCGCCGCACGCGCCGCAGCTCGTCGCGGACGCAAAGTTCGCGTTCGAGGTGGCGCTGCGCGAGCAGCAGCCCGCAGGCGCTCTCTATGAGAGCTACCGCCGCCTAGCGGCGGCTCTCGCGCACTCGCGGCGCACTCGCGCGGGGCTCGCGCTCCGCCACCTGGCCCTTTGCCCGGCGTGCAGCGACGCCCTCTGCTTCCCGGCGCAGCACCTCCCGGCCGTGACGCGCTACACGCTGCCGCCCGTGGTGCAGCGCGCCGGCTGCAGCGATTGCGACTACTTGGCGATGCGGCGCATGCTCGCCGCCCGCACGTCGTCGTACAACGAGTGCACCGCGAAGGACGCGGCGGAGTGGCTGCGCGGGCTCGAGCAGGCTGACGCCGTCAAGCACGCGTGGGGCGTCGTCGTCGTCGACGCCATCAACCGCCCGCCCCACGCGGCGACGCGGCTCGCCATCATGGAGGGCACGTTCGACCACGACTCCTTTGCCGCGTTCCTGCGGGCGACGCCCGGCGTGGCCGTGCCCTACTGTGGGGCGCATGGGCCGCCGCGGTCCGCGGCGGACGATGCGCCGATGCCGGGCGCGCCACCGGGCGCGCCGATGCCGGGCGCGCCGATGACGGACGCGCCAATCCCGGGCGAGCCGCCGGCCCCGGCGGCGGCGGAGGATGCGCCGATGCCGGGCGGCGGGCAGGACGCGCACCGTAACGGCTGCGCGTGCCCCGGGGGCTGCCTGGGCGGCCCCTCGTTCCTCCCGTTGGATCCGTGCTGCGAGTGCGAGGAGTGAGTCTCGTCGTCGCTTCCCACACTGCGCGGCGTGTGGGTGGGGGTCTCTGTTGATCACTGTACTGTACTCTCGCTCTCTCTCTCGCTCGCTCGCTCTCTCGCTCGCTCGCTGCCGCTCTCTCTCTCTCTCTCTCTCTCTCTCTCTCTCTCTGTGTGTGTGTGTGTGTGTGTGTGTGTGTGTGTGTGTGTGTGTGTGTGTGTGTGTGTGTGTGTGTGAGTGTGTGTGAGTGCGTGTCTCTCTGAGCTAATTCCTCTCCCGCCCGATCCTTGCTGCTTGCTGCGAGTGTCGGGGAGCGTGTGCGACCAGGGGAGTGAGTCTCGTCGTCGTGTCGGGGCGTAGCTGCTTTTTGGAAACATGTTTCTACTCGTTGGACCGGAGATGGGGGGGCAGGTGCACACCCCCTGCGCTGCTCAACCTCTGAGATGTTACTCCAGACACCGTACCGCCGTGTCTGTATCTCCCAACATCTCCCGGTCCCGCTACCCGCAGCTCAAAGCGACGTCTCCCCTAATCTCCACGGCACCCACCGCCCGCGCACACTACTCGCCGACGACTCGAGAGTCGCGCGCACGCACAACCCAGCCGTCGAGCAAGCGGGCATGACCAGAGGCGCCCGCAGAGGGACAACCGGGATCGCCCTCGCCCGAGCCAGAGCCAGCCCTGGCCCCTGGCCGCGCGCGCGGCCTTCTTTCTGGCCCGCATCCACCGCAGCGGCGGCCGCCGCTGCGAAGACTGCGGCCGCGCGACGCCTCCACGAGCATACGATCGAGCGCCCGGAGGGGCTCGGGCTGAGTGCCGTCGCGAGACCTCGGCACGCCTGCGCACGCCTGCGCACGCGGCAGAGCGACAGCGGCACCACCCTCGTCGGGCGCCGACGAAGCGTGCTCGCGGGTCGCCGCTCCGTCGACCGACGGCCGAGACACTTGCTCCGACGCCGCCCCGCCCCCGCCCCGCCGGTCCGGCACCGATATCTCGGAGGACGACCTAAGGAAGAGCGTGGCGGCGCGTCGCCGGAGGACGGCGCGCTCGTGCTCTCGCCGCGAGATCGAGGGGGGGGGGGGGGGGGGGGGCTGCGCCGCGGAAGAGCGCCGGGGCGAGGGGTGCGTGTGCGCCGACCGCGGAAGAGCGCGCGGGTGAGGGAGGGGGGGGTGCGCGCGCGCCGTCCTGCAGCGTCGCCGGCCGCAGGCCAAGGAGCTCGGCTCCTCGAGAGCACCGACGGACGACAAATTGCTCCTCAGCAGTGCGACGCCGAGCTGGAGGCTCGGCCGGGAGCTCGCGCGGGCGCGTGGAGCTTTCCGCTCGGGCCAGCAGGAAACGGGCGCCCCGCACAGCGACGCCCGCCGTAGAGTGCCGAGAGCTCGGCTCGACGCGAGCGCCGAGGAAAAGCGATCGGCTCCCAAGCAGTGGGACGCCGAGCTGGAGGTTCGGGCGGGAGCTCGCGCGAGCACATAGCAAGGTGCGTGCGCGGCGGCGTGACACAGGTGAGCGGGCAGCTGGCGCACATTTCGGCTGTGGGAGCTGCCAGGAGTTTGCTCTCTCCGTTCACACCCCTTTGCAGAATAAGTGCGCCACATACACGGGAGCCGCCTAAAGGAATGTAAGCTTGTTCAGCGGGATCCGGGATCGTCTGATGCACACTACCTCGCTAGTCTCCAGACCACGCCCGACCGATGGCGAGTAGTATCGACATTACGACAGGCATCTGCCAGAATGCCTTCTCCATGGCGTAATTCTCGGGCCGGCGTGCCCACTTCCACGAGCCAGCGGCCAGCATCTCTGTCGCCGCCATTGACGTTGCCCCCCCCAGGGGCCCAACCTTGTACTGCATCACGTCGCGAGGCGAAGCAGCACCTCGAAAGACCGTAACCTTTGCGAACCGAGCCGGCGGGATACCTGACTCGCCGGAGAGGAACGCCGCCGCCTCAGCCTTGGCCGGGGCTAAGAGCTGATACTCGATCCCCACGTTCGAGTCCATGATGACGCGACCGCCGTGAGCCCGGAGGTCCTCATAGACGAGGTCAGCGAGCCCGGAGGCAAACCTGTGGTCGACAAGACCTGCGACCTCTAGGTAATCGGCAACCGTGTGGATCTCCGTGATCGAGAGCTGGTCGAATATGGAGGCCTTACCGTCACCCACAAAGGGCACGGTGCCTTGAGGACACGTCGGTGGGGGGTCGGCGGGCTTCTCTGGCTCGGCGTGACCTGTCGAGCCAAAGAGGAGCGAGCGCGACCTCATCATCTCCTCTGCCTCCCTCCTGTCAAGAACTTTAACCTCAACACCCGCTCCCCCTGTGAGCAGCAGAAGCAGGGTGAGCATCGCGTTTTGCCAGAAGTGTCGGCTGCGCTCCGGCCTCCGATAAGGCCCGGAAGCGGGAAGGCACACACAAGTTTCTAGTTTGTTCAACCTGAGCGTGACAGGATGACGGACGGACCCTCCTTATCTCCTGGTGCGTCTCTTTAGTTTTCGGCGCGTATCTCTGTAAACATACGAACAGAACGCAGGAGAATGTGATTTTATCACTTAGCCGCACCTGCGTCTCCTTCATCGCGGCAACGCCAGCCTTCCGACGAGCTGCGTCCCCCTGCCCCGGTTTCGGGGGCATTCGAAGCTGGCCTCCTCGCACTCGGTCTGCATGTTGACGTACGCGAGGTACTCGCTGTAAGCGTCAGTCCTCTTGCCCGTACCGTCAACGACCTGGCGCAACGGGTAATGGCAGGCGAAGCCGGAAGCTGCAAAGTCGCCGTAGCCCGGTCCGAACTTGGCCTGAACCCAATCAGCTAGGCCCGAGTCAATAGAGGCGGTCTTGAGAAACTCCGTCAGCTTTGCGGGAGCGTCCGGAATCGTGGTGACACGGTCCCATCCCCAGCTCGTCCGAACCATCGTAGCGAACGTCGGCAGCGTAATCTCGCCGAGCGCGTCGTTTGTAATTTTTGTTCTCACATCGATCTGGTCAAAGTCATCGCTGGAGAAGCAGAACTCGTACTTTAGGATCCAGTCGGCGCCGCTGCTCCACGGTTTGCTCTCACCATTCCCAGACTCATCGAACCAGGTCCAGTGGCCAGAGAGCGGGCCGCCGCTGTATTGCCGCACGCCGGAAGCGCACCGCGTCTCGTTGTCCCAGGACGCTTCCCCAAACGAGATGAGGTTCTCCTCGGCAGCTCCAAGGCAGACCTGGGTGTACTCCGGATCCGACGGATACGGCCCGTCCTTCAGCGAGACGCCACGCTGGTCCATCCACCACAGCCCGTGCAGCGCCTCAGGGAATACGGAGCCCGCCTCCGCAAAGAAGAGCTGCGTTTCAATCGCATCATTCTGGATGCGGCCCAGCGCGAACCTTGCCGGGTCGCGCGACACGTCCTCAAACTGCACGCCCACACCGCGTCGACTCGCCACCCGCACCCGGCTCACCATCTCTGCTCCAGTCGCATGGTACCCGAGGAGGCGTGCCGACCGCTCGCCGGGTGACGCCGCCCAAGGGTGCCAAGGACGGAACTGTTTGGCTGCCAACAGCGGTGGCAGCTCCACGGGCTCTTGCCACGCCAGCGCACAGCCCTGTGTCGCCGACTGCTCGGCCGGGCAGTCTGCCAGATCGTAGCGGGTTGTGAAGATCAGCTCGCCAGGCTCCTGCCAGCTGCAGTGGTCGTACAAGTTCACGGTCACCGCCGAGCTGTCGGCGGGCAGGTAGACGTGCAGATCGAAGACGCCGCTGGTAGAGCCGTAGAGCACTTTGGAAAGGTGCGACACCTCGGGCCTTCCCGAAGACATCTTTGGCTCGACGATCACCTCGACTTGAGCATCAGGCGCCTTGGTGAGGCCGCCGATCGCAAAGTCGGTGATGGCAAAGACGGCCCAACCTGTGGTGTTGACGCCCGTGCCCCAGACGTCGTGAGCCTGGGAGGTCGCGGCGGCGGCGGCGGCAAATGCTGCCAGCATGGAGGACGGCGGCAGCCAAGGAGGACTCACTTCAGCTGGGGATATCTATTTTCTATTTCTTTTTTTGTCTATGTGCTTACTTTTTCAATGTACGTGCTTTTAGCTTATCTCTCTCTCAATGTATGTGGCTCTTACGTACATTCCCGGAGGAGGACTGCTGACAGGGTTTGCGATGAGGAGTGACCCGAAGGGTTTCTCGGGGTAAGTGCACCACTAACCGCCTCTCTCTGCAAGAGCACTGCGACGGATCGGGCTCATACTTTTTTTGAAAAATGTTACTCGCCTGCCCCTGGCGTGGCGTGGAGGGGTTGAGCATCCTTCCGGGGCGGCCTTTCCGCCGGGGAGGCGTCGTCCGTCGCGCTTCTAAGGTGTTGCTGCGCAAAAGCCCGGTACAGAACACGCAACTAACCCTCGGAGAGTATTCTTTAGCTCCGAGTAGAGGGGGCGGTCTGCTGCTAGGGGAAACCCGGAGCGCGGAGCCAACCCTCGGAGACCCGTGTTATGGCCCTGCGAACGCGCACCCCCTGGGCTAGGGCTCTCTTGCCCGCAACCCGATCCCGAGCGTCCGGCCAACTGGGTGCGCTTCTCAGCTCCCCGGTCCTGGGCGTGAGGCTAATGACTGCACTCCAAGTGCTCCAAAAGGGGGTTGGACACAGGGCGCAGCTCATGCTAAGAGCAGAGGGCGAGCTTAGAGAGAACAACCATCCTCTGTGCCGTTGTTGCGTACACCAACACAACAACACCACAAAAAGCTCTCTCTCTCGACTCTCCTGTCCTCATTCAGGCGGGTCGGCCAGAGGTTGCTGGAGCACCTCCAACTCCTCCTCCGAGTCAGACACACGACAACGACTGCACCCTCCTCCTCCCATTCGTCGACTGCGCCCTCCTCGTCCTACAATTCGTCGACTGCGCCCTCCTCCTCCACGGGCTCGATCCGAGATTCCGCAGCGTGTCGGCCCCCCCAGCGTCGGTGCTGCGCGGGAGGAAGCGCGGCCGGCGGGCACGCTGGGCTCGATCACCCGCGGTTCTCTCAAGTTGCGTCGAAAGCAGGGATTGGCTTTACCGACGGCTTTGGCTCAAGTATACAACTTTTAAAAGCTTGCACTAGAGGAGAGAGGTCGCCCCTCTCTCGCGCGCCACGCCACGGCCCACCCACACGCCCACGGGGTACGCGGATTTTGCTATTTTTGCTCGTCGCGTGGGGTCGGTATTCCGGAATTGCCAATGGTACCGCATCTGCGTGCGACGCGGGCGCCTCGCGGGCAGAGCCCTTAGCCACCCTTTACGCCGAAGCTGCACCGACAGCGCCGGCCCGTGGGGCGCTAGCATCGGCTGCTCGTCGCCACGCGCAGCCTCGTCCTGCCGCTCGTCGTCCTCCGCCTCGAGGACGTCCGCCAGCGCGCTGCGCCGCACACCCCGGCACGCGGGAGGCGGCGCCGGCCGCACCTCGGCCGCCTCGGCGGCACCCGCGGCACGGGCGCCCTCGCCGTCCGCGCGGTCCATCGCCGCATCCCCGTCCACGTCTGCGGCGGCGCCTCCTGCGCCCGTGCCGGCCTGCTCTGGGACGGCTCGCCACCGCTCGTCGTCCAGCATGTGCCACCACCGCCGATCCGGGTAGCCGTCGTACTCGACCTGGTGCGCGATCCGTCCGTCCCCGTCCTCCTCCCGGCCCATGACGGTCGCGGGGTACCACCGCTCGGTGTCGCAGAAGATCTCGAGGCGCGATCCGGTGGGCAGGACAGTGTGGCCGTTGAGCGCCGCCCTGCCATCCTCGCGCTGTCGCTTCCGCCGCTTCGCCTTCGTCTCCTTGCTGCGCAGCAGGGTGTAGTTCGGGCCCGCCTCCGCCACGCTGTCCAGCAGCTGGACGGCGCTCACCATCTCGACCGCGTCGTCCTCCGGCGGAAGCTCCGCGTTGCCCGCGGCCGCCTCCCGAGCGCGCTCGTCGCGCATCCGCTCGTGGTGGGCCTGCCGACGCGCCACGCCGGCGCCCGTGTGCCTCGCCGCCGCGTCCGGCGACGGCATCGACGCTGTCTGCCCGAGCGTGACTCCCAGCTCCACGATTTGCGGTCGACCAAATTTGGCTGCCCCCATCAAAGTTGACTCCCTTCCTTAGATACATACATATTATACAAAACACACGGACGACGTACACGGCAAGGGCAAGCCAACGATACACGCCTGAAACCCCCTTCCACGGAACGGGGGTGCAATAGCCCCTCAGCGCGCCACACGGACGACGCATAAAACCTGCACCTGCCTATTGGCTGGCCTATTCGCTGGCCTCCTTGGAGATCGGCAGTGGTGGCAGCTCCGCCGGCCGCTCGGAGGGCCCGGAGGTCTGTGGCAGCGGCGCGAGCTCCGCCGGCCGCTTGGCGGGCTTGGAGAAGGAGCCGTGTCCCGCTTGCGCCTCGCCCTCAACCACCCAAGGGTACGCCGGCCCGCCGTGCTTTGTAAAGTCGCTCCCTGCTAGCTCCATCTCCTCCGAGATGCGAAAGATGTTGAGCGCCCTCAGCGTCCAGAAGAGGAGGCCGGACGTTGCAGCCACCCAACAGACGATGGACAGGGCTCCTGCCAGCTGCGCGGCGAGCAGCACACCTCGTCCGCCGTTGAGCAAGCCAGCGTCATACCCCTCGTCGCCGTGGAAGCGGGACCCCTCGTGCGGCGAGTAGCTGTAGACGCGGCTAGCAAAGAGGCCCACCGAGACGCAGCCCCAGAAGCCGCACGCTCCGTGGACCGCAAATGCATCGAGCGGGTCGTCGATCCTCAGCCGCCGCATCAAGCATGAAGCGGCGTGATAGATCCAGGCGCCTGCACAGCCGATGAGCAGCGAGGCGGCGGGCGAGACGGTGGAGCAGCCCGCGGTGATCGAGACCAGACCCCCGAGCAGCGAGTTGCAGGTGTGCGCCAGGTCCCAGGTGCGCGAGCCTCCGAGGGACTCTGGCAGGTGGCGCTTGATTAGCAGCCCCGTCGTCGCCGCAGCCGCAGCCGAGAGGGTGGTCGTGATCGCGGCGCGGGCCGCGTCGCGCGCAAGGGTGTGATCGGCGTTGTGCAGCGCGAGCGTCGACCCCGGGTTGAAGCCGTACCACCCAAACCACAGCAAAAAGGTCCCGATGACCTGCAGAGCGGCGTCCTGCCCCTGGAACGCTGCCGGGTTCTCCCACCGATCCAGGCGATGGCCGAGCACGCCGGCGGCGACAAAGGCTGCCACGCCGCCCGTCATGTGGACGACGCCTGAGCCGGCAAAGTCGATCATCCCTCCAAACGCAGCCTGTGGGTTTGAGGCGGAGAGCCAGCCGAGCGGGTCCCAAACCCAGTGGACCACGACCGGGTAGATGAGGCCGATGATAACCACGGCGTAGCAGAGATAGCCAACAAAGGTGCACCGCTCAGCAACGGCGCCAGAGACGATGGTCGCGGCCGCGGCCGCAAAGGCATATTGGAACATCCAGCCTGCGTAGCTAGCGCCCTGATCGTTCTTCTCCCAGTCCCGCACACCCGACAGCGCAAGGTACGAGCTATCCGTGCCGATGAACGGGTTGCCAGGAGCGTCTCCACCGTGGTAGGCGACGGAGTGGTTGCCAGGAGCGTCTCCACCATGGTAGGCGACGGAGTAGCCAACGAGGAACCATACCAAGCCGCCGAGGCAGGCGTCGCAGACGCTCTTTAGCAGGATGTTTTTCACGTTCTTGGCCCGTACCGACCCCGCCGCCAGCAGCGCGAAGCCGGCCTGCATGAGAAAAACGAATGCGCCACAGACCATCAAGTAGAAAGTGTTGATGTCGGCCTCGTCGGCCTCCACGCGAGCCCTGAGAGCGCTGAGCTCGGCCTCGAGGGTCGGGTTGTTCGTCATGAGCGCGGCGCCGAGGGTCGAGTCGTTGTGCATGGGCAGCACGTCGCGCAGGCCGCACCTTGGCCTTCCGTTCGTCCTTGTGGTGGGTAATATTGACACGTTTGAGCGCGATGTGTTGAGAGCGCGAGCTCAAAATCCCTGATGGAGGAAAGCGGCGAGTCGCAATTCCAGGGGTCGTTGTGGCGGGCGACCCTGCTGTCTGGAGAGAGAAAGGGGTTATTGGGAACACCACTATGGCCCGATTTTTTATCGAAGGAATGAAAACCTCGACTGGGCACCCACCCACCCCAACGCGGTCTCACTAAACCACAGCAAACAAAAACAAGGCTGGGACTCTGGCTTGGTTGGGAAGCAAGAAGCGTGAAGAACGTGCCCGCCGAAACGCGTGGCCGAACCGCTCTCTTGCAGCTGCTCTCTTGTTGACCGCGCAGACTTGAGGACCCTTGGAGTCCTAGCAGATGCGACGCCGAGGGAAATATGCCGTCGAGCGTCTTTACCCACCGAGCTCACCATCGCGATCACCCTTGGGAGGGGTTTGACGGTACGGCCCGTGAGCACCTGCCGCACGCTCGTGATCTGGTGGCGCTTCAGACATGGTAAGCGTGCGCGCGCACACTCAAAGCGAATCACTCCCGCACTGCCTTGTAGTTGCGCGGCGCGCTTGCCGAGTTCCTCGCGATGACCCTCTTTGTCTTCTTTGGATGCGGGGCTGCGGCTGGCAACGCTCACTTTGAGGACAACGATTGGGACCCGGCCTCGGTGATGGTCATCAGCCTGCAGTTTGGTCTCGCCATCACGGTTCTTGCTTTCGCCACCGCGCACACCTCTGGTGGGCACATCAACGCCGCAGTGACCTTTGGACTTACTCTCGTCGGCAAGTGCCACCCCGCCCGGGCCGCTGTCTACGTCGTTGCACAGCTCGCCGGCTCCATCACCGGAGCGGCTATCCTGCAGGGCGCCACCAGCGGTGGGCTTGACCGGTCGGGGAACCTTGGCGCCAATGGGCTTGCCCCAAACGTGTCGCTCGGCAACGCCTTTGCTTTTGAGTGCATGGCCACGTTCTTCCTGATCTACATCGTCCTCGAGACGGCGGTCAACCCTCACTCGGTCACTACGAACGGTGAGTCTTCCATCCTCGGAAACAAGCAAAACCTGGCGCCTTTCTCGATCGGCTTCGCCGTCTTTGTCGCGCACGTGGCCTGTATCCCAGTCACCGGCTGTTCGATCAACCCAACGCGGTCCTTCGGGCCCGCTGTGATCTCTGGACAATGGGAGGATCACTGGCTTTGGTGGGTCGGGCCGCTGGCGGGATCGCTCGGCGCGATTCATCTCTGACCCAGGGCGTGCACCCTGCCAGGCCCTCACCTCACTGTGAATAAATAGGTGCAAGCCTGGTCTGGTGGGTGATGAAGCGGCTGGATGACAAGAGCGACGTCGAGCGCCGCAAGTCGACCTGCGGTGGCGAGGATAGCGATAGGCGGCAAGGGCAGTCCCAGGCGTCGTCCTGATAGGGCGTAGGAGCTCTACCTGTAGGGGCCTGTAGCTACCTCTAACTCTTCCTCCACAGAGCACACAACATGCAGAGTTTTGTGGGCGCAGAGAGGTATCATGTATCGAGACACGCAGTCCGGTGGGCACAAAACGCGCGGGAAACGAGAGGGGGGTTAAAGAAATAAAAGTTTTGACAAGGCGCGCAAGTTACGCGGCGAGGGGAAAGGGGAGGCAAAGAGGGGCAGCAAAAAAGCGGGACGCAGTGACGCCCCAGCGGCTGAAAGTGGTGGTAAGAGTGCGGCACGAGCCCCCGGCCACCGCACTTGGAGCACCGTGGAGTACTTCTTGGAGTGCAGCCACTGCAAACCGCCCGCACGCGGGCAAAAAGAAAAACAAAATGAACGTTGATTTGCACAAACTGAATTGCAGCTCGGCCCGCGCGCGAGGATGGCGAAAGCGGAAGCGAGGAGACTCTGGCGTGGCTCTGCGCCCCCCCAGAGGCAGCTTAGGGGACCCCTAGGGTTCTGAGGGCCGGATTTTTTAAAGACCTTTTAAGAGATTGGCGGCTCCAGAGCCGCCTCGGTGCGTTTAAGAGATTGGGCCCATGCTGCCACTCCCATTTAAGAGACCATTTAAGAGAATCGCACACCGCGCCCAACCTGAGCCATTTGAGCCATTTAGAGCGTTTAAGCGCGGGGAGGCTGGCGGGCGGGCGGGCGAGCGAGCGGGCGGGCGGGCGGCAGAGAGCGAAGCGCTCTCGGGGCCGAGCGAAGAGCTTTCGCCGCCCGTCGGCAAGTTTTGAGTATAGACCATTCATGGTGTGATCGCGTTTAAGGGCGCGGGGAGGCTGCCGAGTCGTTTGACCGTTTAAGACCGTTTAAGGAATCGGCGGCCCAGCAGCTCTTAAAACTTGCCTAGGCAAGTTTTAAGCCGTTTAAGCCGCAGGCGCCCCAGGGCCCACCCTTTTAAGCCTAGGGGTCCCCTAAGAGAGGCAGAGGGAAGTCCGAAAGAAGACCCCGCGACCCTTTGTAACATCGTCTGTAACAAAAAATAGTACCTACCTATACGAGATGGCTATACGAGTACACAAAAAATAGAGGGCGACTCAGATCTTCTTCACGATCTGCAAGACGTCCTCGTCGTGCAGCAGGTGCGCCTTGCCCACCTTTTGCGGGTTGAATTTGACGGAAGATCCCCACACCCAGCCGTACTTGAAGTCGTGGATGAGTTGCCGGTGGATCTTCTTGCAGAAGACCTCGACGGTGGGCTTCTGCGAGCCGCGGATGATGACGGGCGCCTCGTAGTCGGGCATCTGGCCTTTCGGCTTCGTGTAGACGCGCGTCATGCTCAGGTACTCGAAGACCATGTCCATCAGCCCGTCTAGATTCCACTGGTAGTGCGACGAGATCGGGCAGTAGTGCGGGATCTGGTCGAGGATGTCGAGCTCCTATTAATTAATTTAAATATTAATAAGGATGTCGAGCTCCTGGCGCACGGGAAGGGGCCGGGCGGAGAGGGGGTGGGGAGAGGAGGGCGGGGAAGGGCGTCCCGCGGGGCGTGCGCGTCGCTCCTCCATCGTGATGGCGTCAATCTTGTTCAGCGCGTAGACGCAGGGCATGTAGACGCGGTTCCCCTCGATGGCGTCGATGAGGTCGTCGGGCGTCGCGTCGCAGTTGATCCGCACCGTGGCGGACATGATGCGGTACTCGGTGAGGATCGCCTGCGCGGCACGCGGCCCGGACGTGTCGCGGACGTGTTGCGGACGTGTCGGGGATGTGTCGGGGATGCGAGCCGGCGTCTGCCGTGTGTCGTGAGGCGCGGTCCAGGGCGCGGAGCCTTGATCGAGTCCTCGTCGAGGTGGGTGAGCTTGCAGGTGGCGGCGAAGTTGATGCCTCCCGACACCTTCTTCTCCACCCTGATGTCGGGCGGCTGCTTGTTGAGCCGGATCCCCACCCCCTCCAGCTCGCGCTCGATGATCTTCTTCTGCGCGATGTCCTTCATCGCGTCGAGGACGATGATGAGGCACGAGCAGGTGCGCGCGACCGCGATCACCTGCCGGCCGCGGCCCTTGCCGTCCCGCGCGCCCTCGATGATCCCCGGCAGGTCAAGCAGCTGGATCTTCGCCCCTTTCCAGTACTTGATGCCCGGGATGCACGTGAGCGTCGTGAACTCGTACGAAGCAGCCTCGGAGGCGACGTCGGTGAGCGAGGTGAGCAGCGTGGACTTGCCCACGGACGGGAATCCGACGAAGCCGACGCGCGCGTCGCCCGTCGCGCGCACGTCGAAGCCCTCGCCCGGCCCGCCGCCGCCACCCTTGGGATCGGCGACCAGCTCGCGCTTGTACTTGGCGAGCTTGGCGCGCAGCGAGCAGAGGTGAGCCATGGTCTGCTTGTTGATCTGCGTGCGCGCGATCTCCGACTCGATGTCCTCGATCTTTGCGACGAGCGACATGGCAGCAGGTTCGGGAGCCCGAGCGGTAGGGAGGTAGCCCGGGCGCGAGACGGCGCAGGAAACCGGAAAAAAACCTGGGGGGAAATGTATCATGACCTGCATGTATCATTTCTCCGGAATGATAAATCGAAAAAGAAAACCGCGGAAATCTCCGCGCTCGATCATCACCGCGCTCTCCACCGCCGCCGCCAGCCTCGCCGCCTCGGCCACCCTTGATACGAGTACATGTTTGCCCTCGCTCTGGCTCCACCTGCGCTCAGCAGGCCGTGCGCCTCAAGCGCGGTCCGCGCAACTCGTCGTCCGCTGTTGACACGCGTCTCGCGCCCTGCGGTCGTCATGGAGGTCAACTTTGCCGACTGCACGAACAACGCGTGTTTCGAGGCCAAAGAGCTGGAGCTGCAAACGGAGCTCGACTCGCTCCGCTCGCGCCTCGAGGTGACCAAGCAGCAGGTTGGGATCGCGCCTCCAGAGGCCTCTCCTCTCCCCACACCGGCCGAGCCACTCGCCTCGGCTCCAATCACAGCGGCTCCAATCGCCACGGTTCCACCCACGGCAGTCATCCCCACGCCGGCCGAGGCGCCTCTCGTCGCCACGGCACCTCCCGCCGCGGTGCTGCCCGCCGATCCCGCTCCGCCACCGTCCGAGTTCACGCTGCCAGAGATGCCCGACCTGTCGCTGGACCTGTCGCTTCCAGACGTGTCCCTGCCCGACCTGTCGCTAGTGGAGAGCGCTCTCTCGAGCCTCAGCGCCACCGAGGTCTCCCTCCTGCTCTTCAGCTTCCCCCTCCTCCTCATCGCCGGAGGCCTCTGGAAGCCAGTCCCCGAGGCGCCCGGCGAGGGACTGCTGTCGGGCTTCCTCGACGCGGGCCGGACCGGAGGGTACACGGCGGACTACGGCCAGCCGCGCGTGCGGAGCGGACCCGCAGCAACCGCTGTGCCCTCCGCCGCTCCCGCCGCCGCCTCGGCTCCCTTCTCCGCCGTCCCCGCCGCGACTCCCGCCGCAGGACCGGGCGCTGGCGCCGCCGAGTCTCGGCCGAGGCGGAGCGCGGCCGAAGCCTTTTGGGCGGGGCTGAGCAACCTCGCAGACGACCCTGAGCCCGCCCGCCCGCCCGCCGGCCTCGCCAAGGCGCTCTTCGAGGGGCTCGCAGACACGCTCGCAGACAAGCCCCCTGCCCCGCCTGCCGCGCCGCAACCGGGAGGCGTGCACCGGGAGCCGATGGCGCCCTACTCAGATCTGCCCACCGCCAACGCGACACGAGACGCCGCCCCGCCCGCCGCCACGCCTCCCCTCGCCCCTCGCGCCGCTCCGGAGGGCGGCACGCAACCTGCCGCGCAGCCCCAGGCGGGCGAGGAGGCGATGGCGAGGTACTCCGTCGCTCTGCGCTCCGTCGCCCGAGCCCAGGCTGGGATCGACGCCTCACAGGCACGCAGCCCGCCGTGACGCGTGAGGCAAAAGCATGTGCATGCAGACCGCGGCCGATGCCACTCGCGCTGTCCAACATCGGGCGAGGATGTCGCCGGAGGAAGCGGAGGTGTCTGGGGACGCGAGAGGGAGCAGATGGCGACGGGCACGTGGGCACTCGGCCGCGCGGCGCGGTCGTCGAGGCACTCCAGGGGTGGCGAGCGCGCATGGCTGAACAACGGCACTCGCGGGCCCTCGTCTCGCAGCTTTCACCCGCCCTCGCGGTCGCCTCTCGCAGCGCCGCCACTGAGCAGAGTACTGTGCTCTGTGGCAGTTTAGCGAATTTAGGTATTAGCCTGACCCTGGCGGGCCCGCCCACCTGTGCTCAGCCTGTGGCCTGTGGCCGCCTGTGCGCCTGCCGCGTTGACATGTTACGTTAAAACTTTATATGGTGTGATCTATGAAACGCTCGAGGCACCGCCTAATCTCTATAACACTCGCCAGCGCTCTCGTGCTGTGAAGTGCGCGGCGGGGCTCGTCTGGCCCCGGTCCGCTGCTGCGCGTGCTCCACGCACTGCGTCGACGCACCACGGCGCACGGGCCAGCGCGCGCCGCCGAGCCCCCTGGTCTATGTGAGCGCCATGTTGTGCTCCACCGAATCGACATCGTCGAGCTCCTCGAGCTTGTCGATCACGCCAAAGTTGGCCTCCTCGTCCTCGGCGCTCACCTCCTGCGGCGCGAGCGGCACGTTGACGAGCTTGCCCGAGCAGTCGTACCCCGCGCCCTGCAGCGCACCCTGCACCGCGCCGAGCTCGGCTGCCTCGGTGAGCACGACCGCGCGCGCGGCCTCGCCGTCCGCCTCGGCGTCGGGCGGCTCGAGCAGCACGTCTCCGTCGCAGCCCGCCTCGATGGCAATGTCGAGCAGCGAGTCCTATTCCATCGACCGCGCAGTGGTGAACCGCTGGCAAGGGTTTGGCCCTCGGTGGGAGGTCGGTGGCGAGACCTCGTCGAGCGGCTTGGCGACGACGAGCCGCCCCTTCGGAGAGAAGTTGAAGAGCACCGACCCTTGCGACGCCACCTTGCACCCGTTCTTGTTGATCACCATGTTGACCTCCGACACTGCTCTGTTCTTGTTGTCTGACAGGCAGTTGATCACGAGCCCGACGCCGCCGTGCCCGTACGCCTCGTAGGTCAGCTCGTCGTAGTTGGCCGTGTCGGTGTCCATCGCCCGCTTGATGTTCTTCGTGACCACGTCCTTGGGCACGTTGAGCGCGTTCGCCTCTGCCATGACAGCGGCTAGTTGGCGGTTGATGCTCGGGTCGTCGCCGCCCGCCTTGACGGCGACCACCACCTTCTTGCCGATGTAGGACGCCTTCTTGGCGTAGGCCAGCGCCGTCTTGGCCATCTTGAGCTTGTTGTTCTCAAACTTGCGGCCCATCATCCCCACCGGGCCGCTCCTGCTGACGCTGGCGGGAGCCAGCATTCGCGGCGGCGGAGCGTAGCTCGCCGGCGAGAGCGAGAGGGCGCTGGCGAGCAGGACAAGGGTGTGAAGCGGCATGCGGTCTGCGGAACGAACCCGAAGTTAGTAACGACAAATAGCGCTCTGGAAGAAGCGTGGCGGCGCCAGCGAGCCAGCCCGAGCTTCAGCAAATAAGAATTCAACAAAAAGAACTCTCTCTCACCGACACAGGTTCGACACAGGTACCAAAAGCAAATAAGAAATCGGGCTCAATGAGGTTAATGACTGCACTCCAAGTGCTCCAAGAATGTGTGCTAGCATGCGGCGTGCCGTCCTCCGGTTCACGCCTTTCTTTTTCTTTCTTTCATGTAGTGCAGAGAGCACTCCAAGTGCTCCAAGACCAAGTGCTGTCGGGAGAGAGCCGGCGAGCGGGAGGAGCACCAAAAAGGAAATTCGCCCTGACTCTACTCACTGCCGCCCTGTCCTCTCCTGCTCCGCCGCAATCAGCCGATCCACGGCGTCGGCGGACAGCGGCTGCCGCTGCGCCGGCAGCAGGGCGACCACCCGGTCGAGGCTCGCCGCCGATCGCCGGGTCGCCTCGCACATACCTCGTAGGTACTCGCCCACGCGCGGCGAGTCGGCGCTGTCGCGGTTGCGCTGGGCAAGCTCTGCCAGCGCGTTCGCCTCCCGCGCTGCGGCCTGGTACTCGCGCGCCGCCGCCATGACGGCGGTAGGGTCGGCCGCCGCCGTGGACAGCCTCTCAAAGTAGCCGAGAGCGAGAGCCCCGAGACTAAGAGGCGGCGGCTCGACCTTCTGGGTGCCCATCCTGGTGATCTGAGTGGCCAATGCTGGCGTGCGCGCGGCCTGGCCCCGCTTGGAGCTCGAACTTGCGCCTGGGCGAGCGAGGATGCGCGCCCGAAAAGCAGCCTCGTCCTCGAGCAGGGCGGCGATGTCTCTCCGCTCGGAGAGCAATGGGTACATCGGGAGGACGCCCTTGGCAAGAAGGGCCTCATCGCGCGCCAGCGCTGCAGCCACACGAGCCGCGGGCATGCCGGGCTCCGCTCGCTCCATCTCCATCTCGTAGGCGCTGAAGGCACCCGCGCCCGTGGCCGCGGCGTGTAGAACCGGCGAGTTGCGCACGGAACTCGCGAGCAGAAAGGCTTGGAGGAGCCGGCGCCTTGCCGCGAACGTGTTGATTTGTGGCGGCAGCATGTCAACTCGCACCTCTGCGGGCCCGCTTCCCACCGAAAAACTCCCTCGCACCAACACGGGGCACTGGACTGGGCCCCCGCGCGCAGGCACTACCTGGTAACTGGCTACACGGGACCGGGGGGGACCTAAGCGCCGAAAGAATCTTAAAATACAAGCCTCTCTCACAGCACACACTGGCACGACAAGGGCGCCGAAAGAATTCTTACAATATGTACAAGCCTCTCTAACAGGACCGAGGAGTGAGACGACCGCGAGGTGGCATGAAGGTTGCAGCGAGAATCGGCGAGAGACTGCGAAGGGAGATAGGAAGAGGCGGACGCCCAAGGGTGGGTGACGGCTAGCGCATCACACCCCTCTCCTTAAAATCCCTGTGTGGTGGCGGCGTGCCGTCCTCCATCCCTCCCTTGGGTATCCGTTTTCTTTCTTTCTTTTTAGGACCGAGGAGCAGGAGAACTAGGAGAGCGCACCAGTAGGCCCGCGCCTGAGGGAGGGTGTAGAGGATGTAGAGTGTCGGCAATGAAGCTGCTATGCAGCACCACGCTGTCGTGCGAGATTGCCGAGGATGCCAGGCGGGCGGCGTGCGCGACCCCATGAGCCCCGAGCGCGGGGGGCACGGGTGCCGGCAGGAAGGTCAGCGCGAGCGTGCAGAGGGCGGACATAGTACAGATTCCCAGCGGCGCCCCAACAAGGTTTGCGTGCGTTCCTTGGCTGTTTTTCGCGCTCGGTCGTTAATGAGCACGTGTGTTCACAGAGAGGTTGAACAGAAACCAGCTCTACTAGCAAGTGAGTTCACTGTTCACATAAACGCAAAAACAAAACACAAAAACAAAACAACGTGTTTAGAGTTGTTTGGTTGAGGTATTGCTAAAAATCTCTCTCTCTCTCAGAAACGCACAACCCTCACTGTGCACGCAAAAACCAAAATCACCCGCTGAGACGCAGGAGGCACCGGGGGCTACCGATATACTTGCAGGTTGCAGCCGCGTGACGGGTTTCTCCAAACGACTGGCTGGCCACGCTCGCCTTTTCGTTGAGTCCGGGATGAAGGGCCAGGCGCCGTCGCTACTGCTACTGCTGCTCGCCTGGCGCCCCGCGCGCGGCGCGGAGCAGCAGTGCCAGCTCTCGGACCAGCGTTACGCGGGCGTGACGGTCACCGTGGTCGCGCTGCAGGAGAAAGGCGGCGTCAATCTCGAAAACCTGTACGTTCGGGCGAGGGAGTTTGAGAACTTCACGGGCGCCGTGGTCGACTTCGTGCAGCGGGACGTCCGTCCATCTGGCGATAACCCCTCGCTGGCGGCCGAGGTGTTCGCCGACGCCGGGAAGGTGGAAACCGGGTGCAACGGCGCCGGCGTGTACCAAGGCTACGTGATCAAGGGCAACCAGGTGCCTGACCTGGTCCAGTGTGGCGGGATCGCCAACCTCTCCACGCAAGTGGAGCAGAGTCAAACGTGGTCGGACCTGGACTGGGCGGACGTGGCGACCGCCATCCGCCAGGGTACCTCCACGTACGACTCAAAGGTCTACTCGCTGCCGATTGACGCCGACTACATGGCGACAGTGGTCCGCGAGGACCTGGCCGGGAACACGACCCTGGACACGTGGGAGCAGTGGGTGGCCTTCGCCGAGTCGCAGAACGGGACCGACATGAACGGAGACGGCAAGCCGGATCACGGCGCCTGCATCGCGCTCGGGCCGGCGGGCCACTTCTCGGTCTTTGGCGTGTTGATGGCCATCGCGGCGCCGCACCTGCAGCTGGGAGGCACGCCGCAGGGCGCCTTCTTCAACACCGACACCTTGGAGCCCAAGCTGACGGCGGCGGCGATGAGCCAAATCTACCCCGACGCGCCGTCGTCCTTCTCCTTTGAAACGGCGCTCGCACTGTACAAGCGGCTGGTTGACGTGGCTGTGCCCGGCGTCTCCGCCAAGGATGCCTGGGATTACTTCAAAAATGGCAGCTGCTCGACATGGATCAGCCTGCCCGGCTTCGTCTACAAGACGCAGGACACGAAGTTTGGCACAACCAACATGCTCACGAGAAACGTCCCCAACGCGACCATGGCGCGCGTGGAGGCGCCCGGCGTCCCCTGCCCCTCTCGCTCCACCTGCCCGTACGCCTCCGACACGAGCAGCGGGCTGGTCAGCCGCGCGCCCTTCTTGGCAACGTCGGGCTTCGGCTTTGCGATCAGCTCGAAGGCGTCCGCGATCCAGCAGCAGCTCCTCTTTGAGCTCTTCACGTACGTGTCGGCGCCCGAGCAGTCCAACCCGGACGTGCAGGAGTGGACTGTGTCCGACCCGTTCCGTCTCTCGCAGCTCGACAACGAAACGATCGCTGACCTCGTGGAGCGGGGCTGGGACGAGCCCGTCGCGAGGCAGTACCTCGAGGTCGTGGACGCGACCCTCAACCACCCGAACGCCGCCCTCGACCTGCGCGTGCCCGGGCTGGGCCTGTACATGTCCTCCCTCCTCGACGCGACCGACAGCTACGTCCACGGCACAGCCAGGCGGCGGAGGGCCGAGAGCGCGGACGCGGCGTGCGAGGCGGCCTCCGACGCGTGGCAGGCCATCCCGCTCCAGCTGTACGGACAGGAGCCCGCCGCCACGAACACGCAGCTCGACATCTACCGCGCGCAGCTCGGCCTGCCGCAGATCGTGCGCGACACGGGCGGAGGCGGCAACGAGGAGATCGCCCTCATCGTGACCGCCGCCGTCGGCGGGATGGCGGCAGCCGTCATCCTCGGCGCCTTCGCCTTTTGGATCGTGGCCACGCTGCGCAGGAAGAGGGCTCTCGAGCGGCAGGCGAGATATAGTCGAGATATAGTCGAGATACAGTCGAGATACCGTGCGGGCTCTCGAGCGGCAGGCGCGCGGAGAGAGAGAGGGAAACAAGGAAAGAAGAGAGGGGGGGGGGGGGGGGGAGCGGCGGGAGGCGGCTCGCACCCTAGCCTCCTCGCACCCTAGCCCCCTCGCACCCTAGCCTCCTCGCACCCTAGCCTCCTCGCAGCTGGCCTCTCCTCCCAGCCCCGGCCCCGCACCCGTGCAGGCGGAGGCGACGATCAAGAAGCAGATCGTCTCGGCGGTAGACGCGCTCAAGGAGATCCAGGCGCCGCTGGCGCTCATCCGCGCGAGCGATTTCCTCGAGATTGGGTCGCTGCAGTCGCACGAGGCGAGAGGCGCGGCGAGCGCGCCTCGGCGCAGCGGGGGGGCGGTCTGAGCTCGGTCTGTCTGGCGCGACTCTAGGCGCTGCGCGACAAGGGCGTGCTTCACTTTGTGGACACGACGTCCCAGTTCATCGAGACCGTCTTCACCCGCTACGTGACCGTCTTCTTCTCGCACCAGTGGCTGGCGTTTGGCGACCCGGACCCGCGCGGCGAGCAGTACGCGGTGATGGTCAAGGCGGCGCGCTCCATCGCCGCGCTCGAGAAGGTGCCGCTCGAGGACATCTTCCTGTGGGTCGACGTCATCTCCATCTCGCAGTCGTGCCGCTCCGTGCAGACGCTCGCGATCAACTCGCTCCCGTGCTTCGCCTCGCTGCTCAAGTACTTTGTGACCGTCTGCCCGACGGTGAAGCACGCCGACACGGGGGCCGTCTGCAACAAGGCGTCCTACCACGAGCGCTGCTGGTGCCGCGCGGAGCTCATGTCCTTCTGGGCGCGCAACGGCACCGAGCGCATGTTTTATGCGACGGGCGGCAGCGGCGCGGCCCGGCGGTCGGAGGTCGGCGGAGAGGAGCCGGAGGGGATGGCGCTGGAGCCGATGGCGCCGGAGGGCGTGACCGAGTCGTTCGTGGACGCCATCAAGGTGTTTCACGGCTCGCTGAGCTGCTGCCGGCTGGGCCATGCGGGAGGGACGGTGGGGCGGGGCCGATGGGGTCGCCGGCAGCCGTCGCACACGTCTGTGATCCGCCCCGGAGCCTCGGCCGTTAGGCGTGCTGCGACAAGGAGGAGCTCATGCTGCCGATGCTCGGGCTGTACGCGGAGATCTACGCCAAGCGCGACGGCGCCTGCAAGCGCATCAACGACGCGATCGAGGGGCATCTGGACGAGATCTTCCCGCGCACCTTTGAGTACTGCGCAAACGGCACCACAGTGCAGAAGCTCCTCTTTGGGGACCTCGTCACCGTGCTGCGGCACGACATCGACCAGGCGGTGGCGGGCGGCCGCACGGGTCGGCCTCTGCAGATTGGCAAGCTGCAGCAGGGGACGAGCAAGGCGGCCGACGCGCCGATCCCGCACGGCACCAAGCACGGCAGCAAGCACGCGAGCGCGGGGCCGCGGCACGGCGTCGGTGGCGTCAAGCACGGCCTCGCCACCAACAAGGTCCGCCCGCCGCCCCCCCGCACCGCTCTCCTCTGCCGCAGCGCACGCGCTCCACGCCCCGCCCCCGCGCTCCACACCCCGCCCCCGCCCCGCCGCGCGCAGTCGTGGCTGCTGCGTCGCTCGAGCATGAGCAGCCGATGGTCGGTGGGCGCCTCGCCAGACGTCCGGCCGGTGGGCTCCATCCTCGACGAGGGCAGGCTCGCGCAGCTGCGGCGCGCCGCCGGCTCGGGTCGCCTCGACGGCGCCGACGCGACCAGCCAGTCCTCGGATCGCTCGACCGACGGCGAGGCGGAGGCGGAGCCCAAGGACGAGGCGGCCAAGCTGCCCAAGCCGCCCCCGCTGGAGCAGGAGGTGGTCTAGAGCCGAGGCGCGCCGCCACTTGCGAGCCTTGGCCCGTGGTGCCGCCACGCCCTCCTGCTCCCCGCATGCGTCCTGCGACGGCCCCTTTTCCGGTTTTCGGCTGCGGAGGGGCTGCCCCTCCCCTCTGCCGTCCGCCTTTCGATTTTCTTCCGCATGCCCCGGACCCGCTCCCCGACCGCGCCGCGGTCTCCTCGCTCACTCACACACATCATTCGTCGCTCACAGCAGCTTCACCGTAGACAGTAGATGTCGTATTCAGATGTCGTATTCAGTTAGTGACAGTGCCGCCCAGTTGCAGTTCTTCTTGTCAGAAGGGGGGGGCGGGGGTTGAACCGCGACACACACTGTGACACACTCTCACTATGTGGTGTGTAGTATATGGTAGTTGGTACCCCTTCCCCCGTGTTGTTGTGTCAGATGATTTATGTCCTCCCCCTCCTTTTCCGTTTTATTTTGTTCGCGCTCTCGCCCCCCGCGAGCTCAGTTTTTTTTATTACTGCGCCTCGCGTGTGTGTCCCTGTGTGTGAGAGCTCGCGAGACCGAGCCGAGACCGCCCGCCGCGCTGGTCGAGAGTCCGCTCTCGGGCGCGCGCGCAAACACCTCGATCTCGATGTGTATGTCGCGATCGTCTCTCGTGGGGGGTCCTGGTCGTGCCGCAGGGCCCCGCCTTATCGGCTTGATGTGTTGGTTGCCCTATATCACCTCGTATTTTGTGTGTCGTGTCGTTGTCGGTGTGCGGGCCACTGTGCGTGAGTGTGAACTGTGATGTGTGTGTGTGTCCCTGGTGGAGAGTGGCTGGAGGCTGGAGCTGGGCCCCACCCACATACCCCCACGCCCCAGGCCCAGCTCTGATCCTGGTCTCCACCGCGGCACCGCCCCCCGCGAGTAAGAACAGTATAAGAATCAAGAGTCAAGAGACACCCTCTGACAAGCTCCGCTGGCACACAACTCCTCTGACTGACAGGACACCAACTGACCGGAGCGCCCGCTCGCGCCTCTGTCAGCCAAGGGGGGCCCGCTGAGCGCGCGGTACTCTCCCGCCGCGGCGAGCTCCCGCGAGGCGCTGCGCCCCTCACTGGCTGTTGGACGGCGCAGCGCCCGCCTCCCGCACAATAAGCTGGATCTGCGCCATCTTGTCGGGCTCCGAGAGGTCCCTCCGCGAGACAATCTCGTGGATGCGGCTCTTGAGCGCCGGGTGCTGCTGAATCACCTCGAGCAGCACAGACATCGGCAGCCCCTTGGTCGGTGGCCGAACGACCTGCCCCGGCGCGCCCACCTGCTGCGCCTGCTGCCCGCCGGGCAGCGCCGAAGCGGAGGGAAGCTGCTGCTGCATCACAGACGCGTGCGGGGACGCACCCCCGCCTGCAGGCCGCATCGGCGGCATCCCCATGGCGGCGCTCGCCGCGGGCAGCAGCCGCTGCTGCTGCGCCGCTGCCGCCTGCACGTTCGCCGACCGGTTGGCGGCGGCGACGGCGGCCGCGCCGGCGGCCGCGGCGGGGATCCCGGGCGGCGCGCCCGGCACCATGCCATACGAGCCCTGCCGCATCAGCTGCTGCTGCTGCTGAGCGTGCGGCGGGAGGGCGCGCTGCTGCGCGGCCGCCAGCCCGACTGGAGCCCCGCCCCCAGGCAGCGCCCCGCCGCTCGGCCCAACCGCCAGCGACCCTCCCCCCGGCATGCCGCCCTGCGCCTCGGCCGCCTTCGCTGCCGCGGCCGCCTTCTTCGAGCCGCGCGGCGCCGACTTCTTCGGCGCGCCGTCGGCGCCGGCCGCCTTTTGAGACGGCCTCCTCTGGGCAGGCATCTTGGCCTTGCCGCCCGCCGCGCCGCCAAACTTGTTGCCCTGGGCGGCAGCGTGCGCGGCGGCGGCGGCGGCGGCGGCGGCGGCAGCGGCAGCGGCCCCGCCACCGCGCGCCTGGGCCGCCTGCGCCTGCGCCGCCGCCTGCTGTTGCTGCTGCGACCGCGCCACGGGCGAGAAGGGCTTCATGAACGGGTCGGCGCCGCCCGCGAGCCGGACGCCTTGCGCGCCGAGGGGTGGCGGCACGGGCGCAGCGGCAGCGCGAGCGATAGTCTCGGCCGCGAAGGGCGCGAGGGACCGCGGCGAGAGCGGGCGCGGGGCGAGGGCGGGCGCGGCCGGATCATCCACAGCCATCGGCTCTGGCGCGCCGTCGGCACTGCTGCTGGCGCCGGCGCCTCCGCCGCCGGCATCGGCGCTGCTACTGCCCGCGTCGGCACTGCCGGCGGCGGCGGCGCTGCCGGCGGCGGCGGCGCTGCTTCCGGCTCCGCCGCTGGCGGAGGGCTGGCGCTGCATCAGCTGGGCGGTGATTTGCTCCTGTGAGCGGTGCGGCGCCGCGACCGGGAGCGCGCGGGGCACGTGCGACGCCTCGACCATGCGGGCCGTCTGCACGAGCTTGGTGAGGAGCGCGAAGAGCTTGACCTGCTGCGTCGTCTCCACCTGCAGCGCCATCGGCTGCAGCGCGTTGGCGCGCACCGCCTCGAGCTTGCGCATCGCTTGCCCGACCGCGGCGCCGGGCGGCTGCAGCGGGCCCGGCGTCGTCTCCAGCAGGGAGGGCGTTGGCAGCGCGGCGATGGAGCCGGGCGGCGCGGGGCCCGCGCCGCCGGGCGGCGGCGGGTCGGAGAGCGTGGTGCCCGGCTCGCGCGGCCCCTCGTCGTGCGGCAGCAGCGTGTACGTGCAGCGGTCGTGGCACGCCTTCGGCGAGCGGTACCGCTGCGGCGCGAGCGAAGAGACGATGTCCGAGATGAGCTCCCAGTTGGCCGAGCCGTAGCCGTGCACCGCGCGCAGCAGCGCCGTGTCCTCCTCGACCGACCACGGCGCCTCGCCCGCCGGCGCGACGCCCGGCCGCGGCGGCTTTTGACCCGGCCGCGGCCGCGCGCCCGGCTGCTGGTGCGGGTAGGCGGCGGGGTAGCCGGGCTGCGGGCGCCGCTTGTGGGACCGCTTCCCCCCGGAGGGGGGCGGCTCGTACGGCAGCGGCGGCGGCTCGAGCAGCCCCAGCCCGCCGTCGTAGCCGTCGCCGTACGCCGTCGTGTCGTCCTCGTCGCCGAGCTTCTTGGGCGCCTTGCGCGCGCGCCCAGAGTTGCGTCCGGCGGCGTCCTTTGGCGGGTGGGCTGCCGCCTCGCGCGCGCGCGCGCGCCGCTCCGAGATCTGCTGCCGCACACGCTGCAGCCCGGCCACGCCCTCGGTCACCAGCGCCGAGAACTGGAGCGACGCGAAGGAGCCGGGAGGCAGCTCGTCCTCGTCCGCATCCGACGACTCGGCGGGCGCGGCGGCGTACACCTCGTCCTCGTCGCGGTCGGGCGGCGCGGGCGGCGCCCACAGCCGGAGGTCGGTCGCCGCGCCCGAGCGCACCAGCTGCTCCTCGAGCGAGACGAGCTCCGCCGTCTGCTGGAGGCCCGAGCGGGCCAGCTGCTGCTGCAAGTACTGCACCACGTTTGACTTGTACGCCGGCGGCGGCGCGGCGGCGCCGCCGCCCTCCTCGTCGGCGTCGTCGGCGGCGCCGTTGCCGCGCCGCCGCTTGCCCTTGTGGCTGCGCTTGCCGCCGTCGGCCTGCGGCTCGGAGACGGTGTAAAAGAGCACCTCGTCCTCCTCGTCGGCGGCCGCCTCCTCCTCGTCCCGCTTGCGCGCCAGCCGCTCCATCTCCCACTCCTGCCACTGTAACTCGCCCTGAGCCTCGGCGGCGGCGGCCTCGTTGCTCTCCTCGAGCACGCGCAGCATGTACCGCTGCACCGGCGTCAGCGCCGCCTCGAGCTGCTCCGCCACCGACGCGTCCGTCACGCCCGCCACCTCGCCAAAGTCGGCCGCGTCCTCCGCGTCGATGGCGGCGGACATGCCGGCGCCGCTCGTCGTGAGCGTGCCGCCGTCGGCGCCGGCGGCGAGCCGCGAGCCGCCCCCCGCCGGCCGGCGCCGTGCCGCAAAGTCCGACTCGTTGCCCGAGACGGCGGACGCGTCGGCGGCCGAGGCGGCGGCGCGCCCCGCGGCGTCGGCGTCGGCCTCCTCCGCAAAGGGGATCGACTCGTCAAACTCGGCCGCGTCGTTGGCCGCCTCGGCAGCCTCGGCGCGCATCGCCTCGCGGTCCTCGGCGTCCTGCGCGCTCAGCAGCGCGGCCTCCAGCTCCTCGGCGCTCGGCTCGCCGCCCGGCTCGCCGCCGCCCGGCTCGCCGCCGCCCCCCCTGGCCGCGTCCTCGCTGGGCGAAGGCGCGTCGGTGGACGCCTTCTTCGACGAGCGCCCGCCCCCGCGGGCCTTGCGCGAAGGCGCTGGCGTCGGCGCCGGCGCGGCGTCCGACGCCGTCGCCTCGTCGGGCGCCGGCGCGTCGGTGCCAAAGAGCTCGCGCACGCCCTCGGCGCCGCCCTTGAAGAAGTCGGTGGTGAAGGAGCCGGCCTGGATGACGACCGAGTCGAGCAGCCGCTTCTGGTTCGCCTTGCGCAGGATGTTCTCCTCGACGGTCGACTCGGAGATGAGGCGGTAGATGTGCACCTGCTTCGTCTGCCCGATCCGGTGCGCGCGGTCCTGCGCCTGCGCGTCGATGGTCGGGTTCCAGTCGCTGTCGTAAAAGATGACCGTGTCGGCGCCGGTGAGGTTGATGCCGAGCCCGCCGGCGCGCGTGGCGAGGATGAAGATGAAGATCTTGGGCGAGAGGTTGAAGCGGTCCATCAGCCGCTGCCGGTCCTCGGTCCGCGTCGAGCCGTCGAGCCGGAGGTAGGTGAAGCCCATCATGCAGATCCACGCCTCGAGCACGTTGAGCATCTTGGTCATCTGCGTGAAGATGAGGCAGCGGTGGCCGCCGCTGTGCAGCTGGCGCAGCAGCCGCGCGAGCACCTGCAGCTTGCCGCAGTCCCACTGCAGCAGCCGCTTGTCGGGGAAGGAGAGCGACTGCCGCACCACCACCGGTTGCAGCAGCGCGAGGCGCGGCCGCGGCACCGCCGCCACCTGCACCGCCGTCCGCCTCGCCGCCGCCGCGTCGGAGGGGTCGTGCCGCGTCGAGATGCGCGGGGGCGGCGCGCACGCGCGCCCGATCTGCGTGGTGAACGCCTCCAGCTCCGGCCGGCACGACTCGAAGCGGCGGCCGAAGGAGAGGACGAGCTCGCCCGCCGCAGAGAGGCAGCTCGGCGCCTCGAGCGGCGCAACCTCCTCGCACGCGAGCGCGGCCAGGCGCTCCGCCACGAGCGGCACGGCGCACGACTTGCGCAAGCCGTAGCCGAAGAGCGGCGTGCGCGTGCAGCGCAGCTCGTTGATGTGCGCGAGCGTCTGCCGCACGCTCCGCCGCCACGCGAGCCGCCGCTCGTGCGCCGCCTGCACGAGCGGCCGGAAGGGCGACAGCACCGGCACCGTCGGCGGCGCCATGTAGTTGTCGGGCGGCGGCGCGCCGGGCAGCGACGAGGCGACGCCGGCCGAGGCGAGGGCGGGCTCGGCGGAGAGGCGCCGCGTGGACACCTCGAGCAGGTAGACTGGCTTCGCGCGCAGCGTCGAGATGCGGTAGGCGTCGTAGGAGTCGAGGTCGCAGTACGACGCGAGGTTGAGGTTGAGCAGGTCGAAGCACGCGCCGCTCTCGAGCGGCGGCCTCTCGAGCGCGCGCACAGTGCACGCGCCCGCGGTGAGGAGCAGCGGCTGCATCGCGTGCGGCGAGCGGATTGGCCGCTCCTCGAAGAGGTCGGGGTGGTTGCACACCTTGCGCAGCTGCATGAGCACGTTCATGATGCCGAGCATCGAGCCCGAGCCGAGCGTCGAGCGGGTGGCGCTCGAGGCCATGAAGTCCTCGTAGAGCTCGCGCTGCCGCTTCGAGAGGGGGCACGGCACGACGTGCTCCACCTTGTCCTGCAGGCTCTTCTCGACGTCCTTCTTGAGCCGCCGCAGCAGGAAGGGGCGCAGGATGGCGTGCAGCCGCTCGATGACGGCCTGGTCGACGGCGTGCTCGCCCTCGATCATCCCGGTGAGCGGGTTGGAGAACCAGTCCTTGAACTCCTTGTGCGACTCGAAGATGTGCGGCATCAGAAAGTGCAGCAGCGACCACAGCTCCATCAGGTTGTTTTGCAGCGGTGTGCCCGTCAGCAGCAGCCGCCGCTTGGCGTTGAAGTTGAGCAGCGTCTGCCAGCGCTGCGAGCGGAAGTTCTTGATGTGGTGCGCCTGTGCGCCGCGGGGAAGGCGAGGGAAGGGGTGGGAGGTCGCCGCGCTTGCCTGCACGCGCGCGCGCTCCCCCCGCGTGCGCCCTACGCGCGGCGCGCCTCGTCGAGGATGAGGTACTTCCACTTTTTGCGGCGGAAGGCGGCCTGATCCTGGATGACGAGCTTGTACGACGTGATGCAGACGTGGAAGGCGTTCGTCTTGGACCAGCCCTGCCGCTTGAGCTTGCGCTCCTTCTGCGTGCCGTAGTAGGTCAGGATCTTGAAGGCGGGGCAGAACTTCTTGATCTCCATCTCCCAGTTGAGCATCACCGACGTTGGCACCACCACCAGGTGCGGGCCCCAGATGCCGCGCTCGCACGCCAGCCACGCGAGCATCGAGATGGTCATGAGCGTCTTGCCGAGCCCCATCTCGTCGGCGAGGATGCCGTTCAGGTTCTTGTCGTACATCGACACCATCCAGTCGAGCGCCACGTGCTGGTACTCGCGCAGCGTGCCGCGGATCAGGAACGGCACCTGCACCTTGACGTTGGCTGTCGCGAGCGTGTCCCCCGTCGGCCGCAGCTCGGCAGCCTCCGCCATCGTCGACTCCATCCGCTCGCGGTTGGACTTGCCGGCGTGCGACGCGGCGGCTGCCTCCGCCTCCAGATCGATGTCCTCGGCGGGGTCCTCCGGCTCGTCGCCGCCGTCCGCGTCCGCACCGCCACCCCCACCCGATGCTGCTGCGCCGCCGCCCTCGGAGCCGCCCGCCGCGGCTCCCGCTGCAGCCTCCTCCGAAGCCGCCGCGTCGTCGTCGGCAGCGGCGGCATCGCCGGGGCCCGCCGCCTCGGCGCTGCTCGCAGGCGCCTCGGCGGCGTCGGACGATGCGCCGGGAGCGTCCGCCATCTCGACGTCTTCCGGGGCGGGCGCGGCGACCGCAGCTGCCGCCGCGCCGTCGCCGCCCTCCTCCTCTGCGGGTGGCGCCGCCTCCTCGGCCGCCTCGGCGGCCGCCTCCGCCTCCTCGGCGTCGCCGCCGCCCTCGTCCTCGTCAACCTCCTCCTCCTCCCCGCTCGTCGCAAACTCGTCGTCCTCCTCCTCCTCCTCCTCCTCCCCCTCCTCCTCGAACGCCCGGAGGAGCTCCTCGTCGATCGGCGCCTCCGCCTCCTGCTGCAGCCTCTGCAGCTCGGCGATGCGGTCCACCTTCTCGACACTGGCCCGGCGGCGCTCGTCGCCCTCCCCCTCCTCCCCCTCCTCCTCGCCGCCGCCCGTCAGGCCCTCGGTCAGCATCGACGTGTAACGCGCCGTCTGCCCCACAAGGAAGTCGAGTTGCTTGTTGCGCGTCTCGAGCCGCGCCGCCTCCACCCGCTGGTTGTGCTTGTACTCCGCCACGCGGGCCACCTGCGACCACACGTCGAGCACCTCGCGGCAGATGGCGCTTGCCAGCCGCCGCGTCTGCGCCTCCTCGGAGCGGTGCGTCTTGGACTCCAGCTGCGCCCGCTCCGCGTGCCATCGCGAGACCGCCTTGACGGCCTTGCGCGCGAGCGCCGCCTTCCAGGCCGCCTCCTGCTTGAAGTCCTTTGAGAGCCACTCCATCTCCTCGAGCAGGTAGTCCCAGTGCGTCTTGTTGCGCTGCGGCTCCGCCAGCTTGCGCCACTGCTTGATGGCCCACGTCGCCGGCTGCGGCTGCGACTCGGCTGGCGACGCCTCTGGCGCCGCCGACGGCCCGGCGCCGCTCGCTGCGCTCGGGCGTGCAACCTCCTGCAGCTGCGCCACGGCGCTCCTCGCGTGTTGGCGCGGCTGGCGCTGCCGCTGCGAAGCCGAGCGCGCGGCGGCCGACGCCGCGCCTGAGGCGTCCGCCCCCGCCGCGCCGCCGGCTCTCGCCGCCGCCGCTGCCGCCGCCGCATCGCCCGCCGCCGCCCCCGCAGGCGAGCCTCCCGCCGCCGCCGCCGCAGAGGAGGGTTGGCTGGAGGCGGCGGCGGCCGCCGCGCCCGACCCGACCGGCTGCGAGACGGGCTGCTTGGAGGCGCCGCGTGGCAAGCCCGCCTGGATGCGCGCGGCGGCAGCAGCAGCCGACGCCGCCGCCGCGCCGACCAGCGGTCGCGGCTGCATCGGCGACGCCCGCCCGGCAGCCGGCTCGGCCCCAGCTGCACTTGGGGCGGGGCCGGCTCCGTCGGACGAGGTCGCTGCTGCGCCGCTCGCCGCCGCCGGGGCCTCCTGCTTCACGCCGACGTCGCCCCCAAAGTCCAGCAGGTTCTTGCCCGCCTGCAGCCACGCCAGCTCCGCCGCCGCGGCCGCCGCGGCGCGCTCGTGCCGCCCGGCGGACCTGCTGCCGCCGCCAGAGCCAGGCTGAGCGCCCTCGGACTTGGCTCGCTCCCCCAATGGCGACGGGCCGACGGAGCCGTCGTCCTTGCCCAAGCCCGAGCGCGTCGCTCGTCGTCCCGGCGGCGGAAGCGGCGGCGGATCCTCCTCGTCCTCCCCATTCATCTCGGCGTCGGGCGCCGCCTCGTCAGCAAGGGCCGCAGTTCCATCTTGTTGAGGCGCCGGCTCGTCGTCGGGCTGAGGCGTCGACGTCGAGTCCCGGCGCGCACGCTTCCGCGAGCGACCGGTCGACGAGCCCTGCGGCTTGGGCGCCTCCTCCGCCGCCTCGGGCGCCTCGGACTCTGCAGCCTCTTTCCGCTTGTGAGAGCCCGATCGTCGCCGATCTGCGCGAGGCATCGCGGTGGAGCCTGGTGCGCGCCGAGCGCGCCTGCGAGCAGGGTGACGGTTCGAGTCAGGCGCGAGTGGCCTGCCTGAGGCGCAGGCTCGCGCGCGGAGCGCGCGCGCGCGCGGTCGACAGGGGCTGAGAGCTGAAGGGGGGTCTCTGCGCGTCTGAGCTTTGGCGTCGAGGGAGACGGCCAATGTGCATGCTTGGCGGTGCGAGCGAGGGTCGGCGCGCGCTGGCGCGCGGCGAGCGGGGGGGCCGAATGGCCGCAGGGGGGGGGGAGGGGGGTAGGCACTGGCGCGCACACACACAGCCAGTGGGCTCTCTCGCGCGGGCTGCGCCACCTGTCGCTGAGGCCGCGCCGCAGCGCTACTGACTGTGAGGTGAAAAAGAATTAGCAACCCCAACAGAGAGGGGTAAGGGTGGCGCTCTGCAGGAGGGGGAACGAAGAGAGTGGACGACCGCGAGGCGGCATGATGGTGGGGCGAGAGTGGGCGAGGGACTGCGAGACGGGAGATCGGGAGGGAGTGGCAGACGCCCGAGGGCAAACATGCAACAACGGCCTACTCGCCCAAGTACTCGCTCTCTTTTATGTCCCACCATGCAGAGCGCATCTCTCTCTCTGTTGTGCGAGGCGTGAACCGCGCCATTCGCTCTCACCTGGCAACCCTGTCTGCACGTCTCGCGCGCGCGTGGCAGCGGCAACGGCGCCGCTGCGTCGTCGTCAGCTGCATCGTCTCCTCGGGGAGAAACCCAGCGACGACGGTGCCACCCAGGATCGAAGAGCTCGCTGCGTCGACAAGTGTGTCGACAACATCCTCCATCGACCGGCCGCCGAGGCGTAAGCGCCGGTTCGAAATGCCTCTCGACTGCCCGGCAGCATTGTCCGCGCCGTCGCTGCCTCCAGTGCCACCGTCGTCGGGCGGCTCGCCGCCGCCACCCCCGCCGCCGCCGCCCCCCTCGCCGCCCCGGCCACCTACTCCCTCGCCTCCGCCGCCGCCCCCTCCACCGCCGCCCCCCGGCGGTGACGTCTTCCCGGCCAATCTCTTCAGACCAAACATCTTCGCCGTCGTACTCTGTACTTTTGGCGCCGAAGCAAGGCACGCTGTCCGCCCACGCTCACCACTCGACCCTACTCGGCCAAGAGCGACGCCTCCCCGCGTCCCCGCCCGGCGCAATGCCATTGGCCAATGCGCGGACGACCCAGCGGAAGATCGTCCCAAGGACTCGTCCAAGGTGCTGAAGACACACCACGAGGGCGCACCGGACCCCGTGACCTACGCTGTCTCTGTCCGCCGCGCACCAAGTGCAAGAAGCGCGACGCAGAGAGTCTGCCCTCAACAAAAGGCAGAGTCGGACGACGGAGGAAGTCCTTGACGCCGGACAACGCCTCGCCAACTGCGAGCGCGAAGAACTAGAGCTCGACGCCGACCGAGTCCGCCTCGGACCATTCGGCTCGATCTCGCCGCTGCCATCGCCCCCGCAAGAGCAGGCGACAGACGACGGTGAGCTGCATGGTCACGGACGCCAACCTCGACCCCGCCATCGCCACACAGCCGGCGCGACGGCGACACACCAACCCCGATCCTAGCCCCGATCCTGCCGACGTCGGCACGGCCTTCCTGGATGGCGTTCCTCCGCCTGCGGCGCCCGTCGACGCCACAATGGAATGGCCCACCTCGGGGGGCGACATCGACATGCACGCTAGGGCCCATCGCGCATCTCCCAGCGCCTCGGGAGCCGCCGCCGCAACGACGAGCCGACTTGGCTTGGGCGCCTCCTCCGCCGCCTCGGGCGCCTCGGACTCTGCAGCCTCTTTCCGCTTGTGAGAGCCCGATCGTCGCCGATCTGCGCGAGGCATCGCGGTGGAGCCTGGTGCGCGCCGAGCGCGCCTGCGAGCAGGGTGACGGTTCGAGTCAGGCGCGAGTGGCCTGCCTGAGGCGCAGGCTCGCGCGCGGAGCGCGCGCGCGCGCGGTCGACAGGGGCTGAGAGCTGAAGGGGGGTCTCTGCGCGTCTGAGCTTTGGCGTCGAGGAGACGGCCAATGTGCATGCTTGGCGGTGCGAGCGAGGGTCGGCGCGCGCTGGCGCGCGGCGAGCGGGGGGGCCGAATGGCCGCAGGGGGGGGGGAGGGGGGTAGGCACTGGCGCGCACACACACAGCCAGTGGGCTCTCTCGCGCGGGCTGCGCCACCTGTCGCTGAGGCCGCGCCGCAGCGCTACTGACTGTGAGGTGAAAAAGAATTAGCAACCCCAACAGAGAGGGGTAAGGGTGGCGCTCTGCAGGAGGGGGAACGAAGAGAGTGGACGACCGCGAGGCGGCATGATGGTGGGGCGAGAGTGGGCGAGGGACTGCGAGACGGGAGATCGGGAGTGGCAGACGCCCGAGGGCAAACATGAGAGACGGCGCACAGTACGGTGAACCTACCGTGCCTGCCCGCTGCACAGGTCCGGGTCTACTATCTCGATCGACCCACCCACCGTGCAGAAAAGAATGGCTTGTGTCGGACCTGAGGCCAGCCACAACAGGCAGTCTAGACTCTAGTCCCTTCACAATGTCAATGTCCACACAACCTTGAGGGAGGGTATATGTAGAGGATGTTTTAGAGTGTAGAGCGCTGTAGAGCTGTAGAGCTGTAGAGCGCTGGAGAGCGCTGTAGAGCTATAGCTCTACATCCGGCGCGGGACGAACTGCGTGCGTTCTAGAGCGATGTAGTCGAGCGCGATTGTGCTGTAGAGTTTGTTGTAGAGGGGCTCTACAGCCAAACCGGCGGGAAGGCAGTGACTCAAAGAGGTCGAGCCGCGCTAATGGGGTGTCTCCGAGCTTACTGGAGCTCTGATGGACGGCCCTGACTATCACTGACACACAGAGAGTCACTCTGCCAGTCGCAGCCGTGCGGCATGCCACAGCAGCAGAAGGCACCTGCCACCCACTGGGCGGGCAGAGAGAAGGCCAGGGCAGCACTGGCAAGTGCAACGCGCCTCATGTCGGAGAGCGACCGTGCCTCGTTCGCCGCTTATGATGCAGAGTTTGTTGTAGATATTTCACGTTGTAGAGCGCCTCTACATCGCTCTACAAACAACGCACGCAGTTCGTCCCGCGGCGGGGGTGTAGAGCTCTACAGCTGTACAGCGCTCTCCAGCGCTCTACAGCTCTACAGCTCCAAACCGCTCTACACTCTACATCCTCTACACCCTCCCTGAGCCCTGGTGTCGAGGTGTCGAGGCCCGGTGTCGAGGGTGTCGAGCTGCTGTCGAGGGATAGAGGTGTCGAGGCCTGTCGAGGCCTAAGCGACTCCCGCGAGAGGGCGGCGAGGCACTTAGCTCCGTGCACTCGACCGCCCTCGCCGCAGGCAAGCTCATTGCAAAAGAATTGCGCCGGTCGCGGTCCGCCGCCGGCGCGCTCGGCTCAGTCAGTGTCTTCAAGCCCGCCGGTGGGGAGCTCCGCTTGCGGGCAACGATTGAACATGCGGGCAGCCTCGCTGTGTGAGAGAGAGATTTTTAGCAATACCAAACAACTCTAACACTCGCTGTCCGTGAATCAAGCACTCTTGACGGACGGTCTGATTGTGGAAACACCCAATCTCTTCCACCACTTATACACGGCTTCGCCTTGGACCCTTGGTCTGTCTGCGTCTGTGCGCCGCCGCGCTTGTACACGCGAAGCAGCTCTCTCTCTCTAGATGAGAGGATGATGAGTTGTAAAGAAAGAAAGAAAACAGCGGGGCCAAGTAGGATGAGTTGTTGTACGAGGGAGTTTGAAGGTGAAATTCTTTTTGCCTCGTGCCTAGTGTTGTTTCAGAGTGACTTTCATTCCTTTTGCCGGGGGAGGTTGTATTATCCTTGAAGAAGAAAACAGCGCCGGAGCCGACAAGCAGGCCGAAGTCATCGTACAGCTGTTTACGCTCTCCCGCTCTCCCGCTCCCCTACCGCTGATGCTCCTCCAAGCCCAGCGAAGCCTGCGTCGCGTCGCGTGCGCGCGGCCGCGCCCGGCTCTCGCCTCCTCCTCCTCTGAAGCCGGCGCGGCTGTCTCCCTCGTGGTCTACCACGCGGTGGCGGCTCGCACGCTCGACGGCGTCCTCGAGGCGCCGCGCCAACTACAGTACCCGCCGAATTTCGCCCACACGCGGCCGAGCCGTCACCGCGCGACCGCAGGTGCTCGAGACGCTCGGCGACAAAGCGCCTGCTGCCGGCATCGACGTCGAGTGTGCGGTGCGCAGCGCGCCGTTGGGAGACGGGTGGCGGCGTTTAGAGGCCCGACCGTGGCGGCCACCGCACAGGCGGACGTGCTCAACTTGGAGGTTGGTGAGGCGAGTTTCGTCCTCAACAAGCAGGCGCCCAACCTGCAGCTCTGGCTCTCGTCACCGGCGCGCGTGCTTGCCGGCCGCCTCTTCCGAGAGAGCGAGAGCAGGTCGTGTGAGCCGCCGCACGCCCTCATTTTGCAGGTGCGTGGCCCGCTCCGGTACGACTTTGACGCGGGCTCGGCGCGGTGGCTCAACAACCGAGACGCGCACCCGCTGCTCCCCACGCTGGCCGACGACATACAGTCTCTGTGCGGCGAGGCCGTCGACTTTGGCGCGGTGGAGGAGGACGTGTCGCAGCTCTACCTCGAGCAGCTCTCGAAGCCGTAGCAGCTCCCGGAGCGCGTGTGTGGATGGGTCGAAACCGCCCGTCCCCGTGTTCCGGCGACGTGATATGCCTCAGTGCTCAAACAAATGTTTGTCTCTCTCAACGGGTATGCGTTTCGGGGGCGGGGGGCAGAAAGAGCTAGAGCGAAGTATGATTCTTTTGAGGTGCCTTTTCTTTTTTCGAGCCGTGCTTCAAGAGAGAGAGAGAAGCCAACTCTCTCTCTGGACTCTGCTTCTCAACCCGGCAAGCATGAATTGTTGAACTGTTGTGCGGTGCACTTGGAGCACTTGGAGTGCAGACTACTGCGCAGTCATTTAGCCTCACATCCAGCATCCAGGGCCGGGGAGCTAAGTCCTAAGAAGCACACCCAGCGGGCCGGATGATCGGGATCGGGCTAGCGCAAGAGACTGATAAATAAATAAATAAATAAAACGGACACACCAAACAAGGGGTGGGAGAAGGACAGGGTCCTGACCCCTATGGGGCTAAGAAGAATTGTTTTTGTCAATTTTGGAGCGAGTCCACCCGTAAATATTATGTTGCCTCTCCTCAGCGCCGCCGCAGCCCTCAACGCGGGGCTGCGGACGGGGACCAGCGTGGCGCGGGCGCTGCCGCCTGCTCGGCGCGCCGTCGCGCCCACCGCCCAGGACGTGATGGCGCCGTGCGTCATCAAAGTCGTCGGCGTCGGCGGTGGCGGCGGCAACGCCGTCAACCGGATGATCCAGTTCGGCCAGGCGCAGACGGGAGCGGTGGAGTACTGGGCGCTGAACACGGACATCCAGGCGCTCGACGCCTCGCTCTCGCCCAATCGCCTCGGCCTCGGCGCCGGCACTTCGCGCGGGCTCGGCGCGGGCGGCTCCCCGGACACGGGCGCTGCGTCGGCAAAGGAGTCGTTCGAGGAGATCTCCAAGATGGTGGCGGGGTCTGACATGGTGTTCGTGGTCGCGGGCATGGGCGGCGGCACCGGCTCGGGCGGCGCGCCCATCGTGGCGGAGGCGGCCAAGGCGGCGGGCGCGCTGACGGTCGGCGTCGTGACAAAGCCCTTCTCGTTTGAGGGGCAGCGGAGGATGAGGCAGGCGGACGCGGCCATCGATCAGCTGAGGCAGCACGTCGACGCGATGATCGTCGTCTCCAACGACCGGCTGCTCGACCTCGTCGAGGAGGGCACGCCGCTGCAGGAGGCGTTCTGTGTCGCAGACGATATCCTGCGACAGGCGCGGTCGCCGCCTGCTCTCATCCGCCACTCGTCCGCCGCCGCCCCCCCTCCCTCCCCCGCGACTCCTCCCGCCAGCCCCGCCCTCCCCTCGCTCCCTGTGCCGCCGGCCCCTCCTCCACGACCCTCTCCGCCGCCGCAGCCAGCTGCCAGCCGTCCCATCCGCCACCACTGCACCCTCCCTCTGCCCCTTCTCGCTCCCACCCCACCTCCTCGCAAGTCGCCCGCGCTGCCGCCCTCGCCGCCGCCCTCGTCCTCTTCGCATTTGCCGCCCGCCTCACACCGCTCACCGCCCGCCCAGCCCAACCCATAGCCCCAACCCTCCTCTCCTGCCCTCACCAACCCTCCTCTCCTCCCCTCACCAACCCTCCTCTCCTCCTCTCACCAGCCCTCCGCTCCTCTCACCAGCCCTCCGCTCCTCTCACCAGCCCTCCGCTCCTCTCACCAGCCCTCCGCTCCTCTCACCAGCCCTCCGCTCCTCTCACCAGCCCTCCGCTCCTCTCACCAGCCCTCCGCTCCTCTCACCAGCCCTCCGCTCCTCTCACCAACCCTCCGCTCCTCTCACAGGGCGTCGTCGGCATCAGCGACATCATCATCCAGCCCGGCCTCATCAACGTCGACTTCGCAGACGTACAGTCGGTGATGGGTGCCTCAGGCGTACAGCCACCCGCAGCCAGCCACCCCCCCCCCTGGAGTCACTCGAGCCACGAGTCCCCCTCCCTCTGGAGTCACTCTCCCTCTGGAGCCACCCTCCCTCACCCCACCCGCGCCTCTTCGGCCAGGCCTCGCTCTGATGGGCATCGGAACCGCAGAGGGAAAGACGCGCGCGCGCGACGCCGCCTTCGCCGCGGTGACCCCTCCCTCCCCCTCCCTCCCTCCCTTTCAGCCCTTCAAGATGTTACCTCCCATTCGATTCACCTCTCACTCGCTCATCTTTCTGTCCAATATTCACTCTCCTCCCTTCTTCCTAAATC